ACAGCAGCAGCAATGACTAAAAGCAGCAATAACAGCAGCAGCAATGACTAAAAGTAACAATAACAGCAGCCGCAATGACTAAAAGTAACAATAACAGCAGCAGCAATGACTAAAAGTAGCAATAACAGCAGCAGCAATGACTAAAAGTAGCAATAACAGCAGCGGCAATGACTAAAAGTAACAATAACAGCAGCAGCAATAACTAAAAGTAGCAATAACAGCAGCAGCAATGACTAAAAGTAGCAATAACAGCAGCAGCAATGACTAAAAGTAGCAATAACAGCAACAGCAATGACTAAAAGTAACAATAACAGCAGCGGCAATGACTAAAAGTAGCAATAACAGCAGCAGCAATGACTAAAAGCAGCAATAACAGCAGCAGCAATGACTAAAAGTAACAATAACAGCAGCAGCAATGACTAAAAGTAGCAATAACAGCAGCGGCAATGACTAAAAGTAACAATAACAGCAGCAGCAATGACTAAAAGTAGCAATAACAGCAGCGGCAATGACTAAAAGTAACAATAACAGCAGCGGCAATGACTAAAAGTAACAATAACAGCAGCGGCAATGACTAAAAGTAACAATAACAGCAGCGGCAATGACTAAAAGTAACAATAACAGCAGCAGCAATAACTAAAAGTAACAATAACAGCAGCGGCAATGACTAAAAGTAACAATAACAGCAGCAGCAATGACTAAAAGTAGCAATGACAGCAGCAGCAATGACTAAAAGCAGCAATAACAGCAGCAGCAATAACTAAAAGTAGCAATAACAGCAGCGGCAATGACTAAAAGTAACAATAACAGCAGCGGCAATGACTAAAAGTAACAATAACAGCAGCGGCAATGACTAAAAGTAACAATAACAGCAGCGGCAATGACTAAAAGTAACAATAACAGCAGCAGCAATAACTAAAAGTAACAATAACAGCAGCGGCAATGACTAAAAGTAACAATAACAGCAGCAGCAATGACTAAAAGTAGCAATGACAGCAGCAGCAATGACTAAAAGTAGCAATGACAGCAGCAGCAATGACTAAAAGCAGCAATAACAGCAGCAGCAATGACTAAAAGTAGCAATAACAGCAGCGGCAATAACTAAAAGTAGCAATGACAGCAGCAGCAATGACTAAAAGCAGCAATAACAGCAGCGGCAATGACTAAAAGTAGCAATGACAGCAGCAGCAATGACTAAAAGCAGCAATAACAGCAGCAGCAATGACTAAAAGTAACAATAACAGCAGCCGCAATGACTAAAAGTAGCAATGACAGCAGCAGCAATGACTAAAAGTAACAATAACAGCAGCAGCAATGACTAAAAGTAGCAATGACAGCAGCAGCAATAACTATTTTTGAATCCTGCCTTCAAAAACTGACTGTCTGAGTATTTAACCATTACTGGACTGACATCAGACAGACAAAAGCTGGACGTGACATCTAGTGGTGGAGATCCTCTTTACACATCATGACAGATGAAGATAAAACACAGAAATAGAAACTCTTCAGTTACGTTACATATCATTGCATTAGATGTTAGAAGTTCTAGAATTTAGATGTTTCTATATCAGTGCTCAAATGCTGCAGGATCCTTTTGCCAAACATTTAGCTTTTAAAGATGCATCCCAAAAATTACTTTGTGCTAATGATGACAATGCATGCAAAATCCAAAAATAATCCCTCCACTGATTTATTATATATGATGAGAGAGACTTTGCGAAGGTTTCTAAGAGTGGTTTTACACGACACGGCTCTGACTTACAATCCATGCCTATGCAGTTTCTAGGATGAAATTATTCCAATGAATTCTTTTTCCACTTAACCCACCCTGAGAAATATTTTCTTGAAAGTCAATTTCTGTACAGACACCAAACAAAAATATTTTAAACATAGCACATGTCGAATCCAGTAGTGGGGCATGTTGTCACAATGGGAACCTGCTGTTTTTTCACACTGATTTAAGAAGAATTTGTTGACAGAACAGCATATACTGTATAAAATATATTTAAAATAAATAAAGTATGAGGATTGTGACACTACAAGCTAAAATAGAAAGGGTATCCCAAAGTGGATTTAGATAGCAATTACATTTTCTAATCAACAACGGATTTTGTTTGCAAAAAAAATAAAAAAAATTGTTGCTGTATTTGTGCAATAGATTTCTGGCTTAAAACCAACTTGACCCAATCTCAGAGTCAGACTAATAACAAAGTTGTATGAAATACCTATAAGAAGCATATTTACCCATCTATACTGATGTGATAGCCTATTTTAAAAATGAATTTCATGTTTCCAACAAGGTGGCAGTGTGCTTAATTTCAATTGGCCTAATTTCTATAATGACCCGTGCCTATATCCTATTCTTCAAGCATTATACCTGACTTTATCTCAATCCCTAACGCAAACTCCTCTAATCTAGCATTGACAGGTTCAAACAAATGGATTATTCATTGAGTTGTGATGACGATCAGCTCAAATAACCCAACAGCATCGAAACGAACTTCATCACCATTAATCTTCATAAACTTGACTCTCGATCCACACATTAGCATTTCAATCCGCTAATATCAAACAGCTTTTATGTGGATTGATAAGATTTAAACAGGTTTCATCCATTTTCAATAATGAGAAAAAGATTAGTTCTTATTTAATGAGTTTCTAATTTGAGCTGAAGCCTGACAAGAAAAATGAGAAACGTAAAGTCAATGAAGACTATTTAAGGCACACTATTTTCCTAACAATTAAAGAAATGCTTCATTTTTGTGTTCGTTGGAAATATGTTCTCCACAAATTGTTCCCTCAGTTATGAATTTATCGACTTTCCTCAAGCTCCCGCTTCAAAAGCTTTATAAACTTACCTCAGGGTGTGAAAGACTTCATAAGTTATTCAAATATCAAGATAATGGCCGTGAATGAGAGTTTAATCGTTAGTTTAATCGAGGTCTGTTCTTTCCTACTACAAAGTAACTCAATGCGACACATACACAAACGATTCTCTTTTGATAATAGAAGAGCGGTCTAATTCTAACGAATCGTTCTTTTGAGTCGGCTCATTTAAAAGATTCGGGCGAGTCCATCACAGAGCACGTAAAGAAGCGAAAGATTTGTTGGAACGAATCGACTCACTGAATCAAACGCCAAGATAAATAATTTGTTATCTAGGCTATCTTCTCTGCGTGCGCCTTCTAACTCATTTACAAATCCCAAAACACTCGTTGTAGTGTGTTATAATCTAGAGTGAATCATTCGTGCAGCCTAACGCAGAAACAGTAACATGCCACTACATTTACGCTCTGAAGAGATCCGGACTGTTACACACTGGTTTTAATAACTCGAGCTTTTCCCAACTACAACAATGTAGCTTCATGAAGCATGTAGAACATCCATGCGTGGCTCGATCAGATATAGTAAAGCACTGCAGAAAGTTGAACACTCACCATCGCCGTGAAACAGCCTCCGCCTCGCAAACACAACCGCTGGTCTGAGCAAACACACACTTCAGCGAATCTCTCTGTGCACGGCTGGAGTCACACACTCGCTCGGGAAGGAAGGGAAGAAAGAAAAAAGAAAGAAAGACAGAAAGAAAGAAGGCTCTCGCGGGGTGTAAGACGAGCTATTTGAGCATGCGTGTGTCCACGTGTGTGTGTGTGTGTCTGTCTGTGTTTGGTGCCAGGCGCTGCAGGATCCTAAAATCAGTGCAACCAGAAACAGAAAACGTGTATTGTGTATGTTAGTCTGTCTAGCCATTCATTTCATCTATGAAAATTATATATATATATATAAATATATATATATAGGCTATATATGCTAGGTCTATGTATAACATTCGGTTAATTGCTAACATTAAAGTTTGAATACATAGGATACATGTGTGTGTATATATATATATGAAGAGTTCAGATGCAAAAGCCTCTAAATGCCATTTGAAATTTTCTTCTTTAATGATGATTTTTATCAAACTTGTATATTTAAGTTCAGTGATTTCACTTAAATAACAATTAATAGGTAATTATCATTGCCATTTAAGTGAAATCACTGAACTTAAATATACAAGCTTGATAAAAATGATCATTCTAGAAGAAAATTTCAAATGGCACTCAGAGGCTTTTGCATCTGAACTCTTCATATATATATATATCATCGATTAATCGTGATTAATTGCATCTAACATAAAAGTTTGTGTGTAGATGTGTTTATATATTCAAACTTTTATGTTAGATGTGATTAATCAAAATTAATCGATTATTATAGGCTATATACATATACAGTATATTTTTTCATATATATATATTAGTCCTATAAAATCAATTAATCACATAACAAAAGTTTTTAAATATAGGCTATATCTGTGTGTGTGTGTGTGTGTGTGTGTGTGTGTGTGTCTGTGTACGCAGACATAGGCCTATATACTCACCAAATGACATGAAAAAATTCAAACTTTTATGTTAGCAATTATATTACTACATATATTGTAATTAAAAACTTAATTTTAATTACTGCCTTATATTTTTACTTTTTTGCCAAATTCTAGGCCTGCTGTAAAAAGACTATTAACTTTTATGTACACTCTGAAAAATGCTGGGTTGTTTTTAACCCAATTTTGGGTCAAATATGGACAAACTCAAACATTGGGTTAAAAATGTAACCCAATGGCTGGGTTTGTCCATATATTTTACCCCAAATTGTGTTAAAACAACCCAGCATTTTTTGTGTAGTTATAGCCTAATAAAAACTATTAGCCTACTGATCACATAAGGCATATGCAAAATTGCAAAAAAAAAATATATATATATATAATGTTATATATATCAACTTGAAATTCATTAAAACAAAATATTCCACTAATCCCCATCAAATGTAAGCAAGTTAAACCGTAACGTCAGTGGTGGTGACGATGATCTGATTCTGAACCAAGGGAGCTACATCAAAATAAAACATGCTAATAACATTTCTATTGAGTCTATCAGTATATAGTTAAATGTTATGTTTTGTGCATTTGATAAGAGTAGAGAAAGACACATGTAGGCTATCTGACGCCTTGGCTTGAGTTGTGCAGTGAAAGTGCCATTACAGTCTTCAAAGGGCAAAACAACTTTGGTGACGTCACCGGGCGCAAGGTGTTTTAATTGTTCATTGTAAAATATGCGCCGCATTACCACATGAATAGATGATGAGCTGTCATGGCATGTCAATTTCCTTTAATGTCCTCTGCTACTTGTTAAATATGCAGAGGGCCATGGGGAGGGGGGTATATAAGCTCTCCTGGACCCCTCGACCTGTCATTCTGACTCCAGTCCATCATGATTGCGCACGGAGCTTTGCGCCTGGCCTGCTACCAACTTCTGCTGATCGGAGTATTTGGAAAACATGGCGCAAGGAATATGTCACTTCACTCATCCAGAGCGGACCGAAGCCATCGGTATCATTTACCCACATATATGATGCACCTCTACAGGCATTTCAGGCTCAACCAGACGCGGCCCGTGGAGAGCATGGAGCACGAGCACGCGGACACCATCAAGAGCATCCTATCCAAGAGTAAGATTTCATTCACTTTATGCTTCGATTTTGCTATGCGTTGATTGTTGCGTTTAAAAACGGGAGATTGCGCACCGAGGTGCAAACTCGGGCTCTTTTGTTGGGGGGTCTCGGTGGCTCCTGGCTGTCAAATCTCGGTGCCAGACACCTTCAATCCACATCTCACTTGCTGCTGGTGAATAAGTCCAGGACTAATGCTCTGCGCAAAGCTGATGTGGATTAGACCCTCGCCAGACATCCTTACACAAATCAGTTGTTAAACCCAAATCAACATCACCCTCCTCGGCTCTTTTTCACACGTCGTCTAATTAGATTAGGAGCTCCGGGTTCCGAGGTGCACGAGTTCTGAAGGTGTTAAACGATGGGTTTCGGTGTTTGTTCTGAGGGGATTACACTCGCACTGCCTGGCCTCTCCGTTAAGATAAACTTAATATCAGATCGATACTGTGCGCTTTTTAATCAGACTGCTGATGATGTGATACGGAATAATAATAATTCAACAAATGAGACTGATGCGCACTGCTGGGTTGTTTTAACCCAACGTTGGGTCAAATATTGACAAACCCAAACACTGGGTTAAAAATGTAATGAAAAAATTTAACCCAGTGGCTGGGTTTGTCCATATCTGACCCAAAGTTGGGTTAAAACAACCCAGCATTTTTTAGAGTTTTTATTTTTGTTTTGTTTTATTGGACATAATAACATTACAAATGTCGGATGACAGCATGACTACCAATAATTTGATTGTGGTTTCTAATATTTAGCTATTGCTAATCTTATTTAAGCCTATATTTTAAAATGCTGGGTTGTTTTAACCCAACTTTGGGTCAAATATGGACATTGGGTTATTTTAAATTACATTTTTAACCCATTGTTTGAGTTTGTCCATATTTGACCCAAAATTGGGTTAAAACAACCCAGCATTTTTTTTAGAGTGAGGGAGAAAATAAAAGTCTTATAACAATAAAAAGCTTGTCGATATTCAAACTTCTTCCTTAATGTTTATTGCTCATTTAATAATGAATTTGACAACATTTATGGAAGCATTGCACTTGAATATAATTGTCTTGGTTTGTCAACAACAACAGTAATATGTAACATTTTAAACGATTTAAATAAATGTATGATATTATTATTGTTTAAAATATATTATATTGTTATTGTAGCATTATTATTTTAAATTGTCTAGAATAAACAGAATGCAACAAGAAAAATATAATACATATTGTAAATTATCATTATATTTTATTTGTATTTAAAATAAATAATTTAGATTAATCATTATATTGCAACAAGAAAAATATAATACATATTTTCTTCTTGCAGTCTAATGATTATTTAAAATAAAATATTTAGAATAAACATTAGACTGAAACAAGAAAAATATAATACAGATTCTACTCTAAACGGTGCTGGTTTGTTTTAACCCAAATTTGGGTCAAATATGGGTCAAATGTTGTGTTAAAAATTTAATTTAAACCCAGCTTCAACTTTCACTTTCAACTGTACATTTTTTAACTACATTTTAACCCACCGTTTGTAATTTGACCCAAATTTGGGTTGAAACAACCCAGCATTTTTTAGAGTGTAAATAAAAATAATTGGTATTATAATTGCCAAATATATTAAAGATCAATGCTTCCAGAAATGTGTGCAAATTCAAAGCTGGACCCAACATTAAAGAAGTCATCTAATGATTATTTGAACTAGACTGATGTTGAATGGCAGAGCTATTAAACAGCCAGGAACACTTATTAGATAAACCAAAGCAATTAGCAATTTTAATGTAAATGTACAGCAGGCCTAATACACTCGACTGGACAAGAGCCTCACACACACGAGGATCAAAGTGTGTGTGTTCAGCTGGCACAAATCACCTCATTACCTTTAGGTTTGTGTGCACTACAGAGAGCCATTCATCCCTGGAGAAAAATCAACATCAAAAGAGCCTGTGATTAAACTGTGTGAATCTCACAATGACCACAAAACCAGTGTCGTTTATGGAAACTGAGATCAATGCATCATCTGAACGCGGAATCAATAAGCCTAGGATAGGACGTTATTTGGCCGATTTGAAGATCTGGAATCTCAGGATGCAAAAAAATCTTCATATTGAGAAAGTTTCAGAGTGCATCCACTCACAAAAATACATTTTTGATATATTTACGGTTGTAAATTTACAAAATAACTTCACGGAACATGATCTTTACTTGATTTTTTTAATTGTAATGTGGACTCTGAAAGGATGTGTATTGTGAAAAGCGCTATACAAAAATAAACGTGAATTGAATAAACATCAATAATATTGCTATTGCCACAAATTAACCCGTTTTGTGGTCCTGGCTCACATAAGCAAAGGGATAAAAGTTAATACAAACAGAAAATAAGTAAATAATGTTTTTTGCATGTGATTTGTCTTTTCCCAGGTGTGACCAATCAAGACAGGCACTACATCACACACTTCGACCTTTCCCCTGTGCTTTCCGAGCGGCAGATCCAGTCCGCGGAGCTGCGGATCCGAATTCCCAGAGAAACGCATCAGACGAACGTCACAGTGGAGATCCGACACCAGCACGACGTGCCGTGCAACCAGCGCCAGTTCTGTCTGGAAGACCAGTCCCTGGGCCAGCTCTCAGGATCCTCTCTGATGGGCGTTTCCAACAACTGGAGGGTCTATAACGTCACACACCTGCTTCTAGACTGGAAGCTTTCCGGGAAACGGCGCGTGAAGGCGAAAAGAGCCGTGAGGGTTCTTCAAAACGGGCCTAAGCATCTCGACGGCATCCGTCACAGGGCAATGCTGCTGATATTCTCACAGACCAGCTCTGAACTGGGGGAACCGGATAAAGCCAGTCTCCTCCACACGGCTGAGAAGTCCAAGTTCTTGTTCAACAGCGAAGGAAAGGAGATCCGGAGAGAGAAGCTCCACAAGAGCAGGAGGGGTCGCCGAGGTCAGCCCATGAGGAACCCGGAGCTGGTCAAGAGTTCGGCGGACAGGAGCTCCATGTGCAGGAGAGTCGACATGCATGTGGACTTCAACCAGATCGGATGGGGATCGTGGATCGTGTTCCCTAAGAAGTACAACGCCTTCCGGTGCGAGGGAAGCTGCCCGAACCCTCTGGGAGAAGAGCTGCATCCCACCAACCACGCGTACATGCAGGTGAGGGCGTTACACGACTATTTGCATGATTTGTAATCACAACATTTTTTTCTTTTGTCAAATCAACTTAAATAATTTATGTAGTTCAGATAACATAATATTTTGAGTTTCGGATGATTAAATCATTAAATCAATAAGGCAGCCAGCCAGGTTATTTATTTTTTTAAGTTAAAACAACAAATTTTTTTTACAGTAACTGGGGATTATCCATAACGTACATCTTCATTACTTGAAATATAATGAAATAAAATTAAATGTTGAAAAGTGTTTGTTGGCCAGGAATATTTTCTCATTTTTCAATTAAATAATAAACTTTAAATATTAAAAAAAAAAAAACTATAAAAAATATTATTTCTCTTATTTAAAAAATCTTATTTCTCATTTTTAAAAACCTGAAATAACAATAATAAATGACATCAAAAATCGAAATTGAATAAACTTTCAGTGCCTGAATAAAACAAAATATTAAAAAAACAACGTATTTCTCAATTTAAGTACTAAAAAAACTGAAATAAAAGAGTACATTAAAAAATTCACTTAAAATGCTAAAATAAATGTTAACCAAAAAAGTATTTTGTTTCAGCAACATTTCATTTAGTTCAACATATTTTGAGTTTCGGATGATTAAATCAATAAGGCAGCCTTATTTTTTTTAAGTTAAACCAACAATATTTTTTTACAGTAACTCAGGGATTATCCTCAGCTGAAACCATAACATACATCTCCATTACTTGAAATATAATGAAATAAAATTAAATTTTGAAAAGTGTTTGTTGCCAAGGCTAATTTTCTCATTTTTCAAGTAAATAATAAACTTTAAATATTAAAAAAAACTTCTTTCTCATATTTATTTCAGTATTAATAATCTGAAGTAAAAATTACATCAAAAATCGAAATTGAATAAACTATCAATGCTTAAGATTAAATAAAATATTAAACATCTTAATCATAAATTTTTTTTCGTTATTTCATTTCAGTACTAAAAAAACTGAAATAAAAAAGTACATACAAATGTCACTTAAAATAGTAAAATAAATGTATTTTATTTCAGTAATATTTCATTTAGTTTAAAATAAAAATGACATCAAAAATCTAAATTGAATAAACTTTCAATGCTTGAGATTAAATAAAATATTTAAAAAAAATAGTATTTCTCAATTTCGTAAAATAATAAAATAAATGTTAACCAAAAAAGTATTCTGTTTCAACAACATTTCATTAAAAAAATTACATAAAACATTTTTTCATTACTTGAAATGTTCAAATGTTGACTAAAGTAAAATCTAAAAATAACAAACTAAAACTGAAATATATTTCTTATTTCTCATTTTTATTTAGCTAAAAATTACATTAAAAACATTTTTCGCAAATGTAAAAAAAATATTATATAAAAATATTAAAAACGTATTTTATTTATCTAGATGCCAAGGCAACATTTCTCATTGTCATTTGGTTTAACTTGAAGTATTAAAATTAAAAAATGACTTTAAGTGAATTTAAAATAAAAAGTATGAAAGTATGAAAATAAACCTTGTTGAATGATGGTGCAGTAACGCTGGTGTCCATGCGCTTCTCCTCAGAGTTTGCTGAAGTATTATCATCCCAGCAGAGCTCCGGCTGCGTGCTGCGCGCCCACCAAGATGAGTCCGCTCAGCATGCTCTACTACGAGAACGGGGAACTCATCCTGAGACACCACGAGGACATGCTGGTGGAGGAGTGTGGATGCCTGTGACCCACCCACGTCTTCATCAGATCTTCATCAGAGAGACCATCTTCTTCAAGAGAGACGATCCTCATCAGATCTTCATCTTCATCAGATCTTCATCAGATCCTCATCTTCATCAGATCTTCAGGCTGGAGTCGAGCTGAAGATCCAGAGCAACATTATCCACAACATGTTAGGACGTGAAGTAGAGCCTGTGAGAGCCGAGCAACATTATCCAGTAACATTAACAATATTATATATAACATCTTAGGACTTTAAAAAGAGAAGGAAACACAACTCTTACCTGTTGAGGTAAATCAGGGATCCCAATTCCCCTCAAAAAAAGTAAAAAAAAGAAGAATTGAAGGAAAAAGATCTCTCCTTCTGGAAATTCCTGCAAATGATGATCAATAGTGAAAACTGCAAAATGGATTATTAAGATCTCAAGCACTGTCTATCTATTTACAATTGCACCATGTGGTGTAGAATCTATGTAAATATTTATTGTAAATAATGCATAAATAAAGCCTTGATATTTATGTAAATATAATATATGAATCTTTGGATAAAAATTGGAGATCAACCAATGCTATTTTTGCTAAAAGAAATAAAAGTATTTGCCTGAAGGCTTTTAAACTCTGTTCTTTTCTGAATCATTTTTATAAAAATCTATCTATCTATCTATCTATCTATCTATCTATCTATCTATCTATCTATCTATCTATCTATCTATCTATCTATCTATCTATCTATCTATCTATCTATCTATCTATCTATCTATCTATCTATCTATCCATCCATCCATCTATCACATATACACACACACACATATATATATATATATATCAAAACAAATAAAGCCTTGACATTTATGTAAATAAATGTTTTTTTTTTTACAAATTAATTGTACCTTTATTATTCAGCTGAAATCTTTTATCTATCTCCTAAAATATAATATAAGAAGACTGAAAGCAACTTCTTCCTGTGAGTTTTTCTGGTTTTATTGTGTCAAAATGTTTTTTTAAATAATTCACTACAAAATCCTTGTAACATCTTTACTTCTAAAGGCCTCAATGTCAAGCGTGTGTCTCTAACAGAGAGCTGGAGAGAAGTGATGTGACTTCATATTCAACATCCAGAAAGAACGACTCAACAAACTCGTCCTGATTTCTAGAACTCAGACTATGGGAGTTTTGTTTTCGGGGTCACAGGGGTCACGGGGGTCACGGGTTCAACACAATCACCAGCCATTGTTCCCAGTAAAGGTCCTGATCCGGCAGGGACGTTCCAGAATGGGATCAGATTCAGGGGGAAACGGTACGTACAGTGTGTTTTAAGCTCTCAACTAACAGCTGGTTTAACTAAATTAGTTATTGCTAATATTTATGGGCTAATTATGGGACAGATATGCCAATTTACAAACCTATTTAACTTCTATTAATATAGAAATGTGATCAGCTTTAACATATTTAAGTGAGTTTTGAGTTTGGTTCGAAAAATTTGCATTTTCTATTTTAAATTAGTAATTATATAGGATGATAACAAGCATTGATTTGTATTTTTATGAGTGAAGAATGTATCCTATAAAACAAACATATAAACTTATAATGATTACAAACATGTTAATTTTCAGGTCTTTAGAAGTTCTAGGGATCAGTTTTTGCATTTCTACGATAAGTTAAATGTAATTTGTAAGGACAGCATTACAAAAATGTAGGTATACAAAGTGATGTTTTCATTTTGTGGAACCTGCTAAAAATACACGTATAGCCTATGGTTTAGGCTACATGTTATGCAAAAATATAATTCTCATTTAATTAAAATTGTTTCTTAATTTGCTAAACAACAAAGTCGAAAACCTGACAAACTACAGTGTAAAAGCAAACACCGAAGTTTCAGAGCTGAAAAGTTGTCTTTCACCACAGCCACAGCTCGTGCTGCCGTAAAGCAGTGAGTTTTTGCGACAGTTGTAGCGGAATCCGACATGGTAGTCGGACGGCAGCTCGCTCTCGAATTACAGAACAGAACATAAACTTACACACACTTTATAACTAAACTAAGTCTTCTGTCCGGTGAATGGAGACGGTGAGACAGCATCGCATGTCTGAATGTGAGGGTTAACCCGCTCTAGACGATCGGTCTGCTTTACTTTACTGAACTGAATGTGTTCGTATTTTTACTTTAATGCCTTTACTTGAATGAATGGCATGACGTCATTCGTCGATAAAACTAGTTATTTGTGATGTAACGTTAAATAATATGGTAATGTTCGTTCAGATTGAGAAATGCTCGTGCTATTAATAACGCCATGTGTTTCTATATTGTCTGTTCAGCAGTTTGAGGCTTTGAATGCTTGGCTTTTTCTCATAATTGCTCATTTAAATACATTACACTTTGAGATGAAGGTAGATTTTAATTGAAATGTTGAACTGTGTTTTTAGGACGAAAGTAGGCTATGTGGGGAAAAGTATCAGGATCTCGTCACATTTGTTTTAGCAGCTGTCATTTTTCTCTATTAAAAACTCTGTTGGCCAAAGATGATATTTTTCTATATTTTACATTTTTTCCGTGCTTTTAGTTGTTTTGAGCTTTATAATTCTGGAAGTTGAAGAGCATACTCAAACATGAATAAACATATAGAAATAAATAGAATACATAAATTAAATGTATTATGTATTATATGTATTAATCAATTCAATTCACATGTATTATTTGTATAGAGTGAAAAATGTTTCAAAGCAGCTTTACAGAAAATGTATGAGTCCACACTACAATATACAGTGATCTGTTATCAGAGATGACTGTCTAAGTTATATATTTCAGAAATGTACATATACTCAATCACAGTTATTTATATATAGTCTATTGTTTGAGCATATTCTTCAACTTGCAGAACTATAAAGCCCAAAACAACTCATGCTGTCAAATCGATTAATTGTGATTAAATGCATCTAACTTACAAGTTTTTGTTTATATAATATATGTGTGGATATATTTTATTATAGCCTATTTATACTATATATGTGTGTGTGTGTGTGTGTGTGTGTGTGTGCTTAAATTACACATACATAAATGTATGCATATATTTATATATTTGTGTGTGTGTCACAGTCAGTATACATAATTAAATATATCCACACATATATTATTATATAAACAAAATGTGATTAATCGATTGGACAGCAGAGTTTGGGATTTATAAATTTTGCATACACACACATATATTATGTTCATATTTCTGATGTCACTGCATGTTTGTGCGCTCTGGCAGGAAGTGGCTGTCCGTGGCTCATACCTGTGACGTCCTGTGAGTAACCCACCAATCACAGCTCAGATCACACCTGAACCCACCAATCACAGCTCAGATCACATTCCACTGATCCACTAATCCCTCCTCAGATCAGCACACCTGAACCCAACCGGATGGCGGAGGCCGTGGCGAAGGTGGCCAGGAGGGTCAACGCCACCATGGAGGATGGCAGAGACTCGCTGGGTGCGACACTGTCCGACTGATCAATCATATCTCATATCTCATAGGGATTTTGTTTTCATGTTTATACCCTTGTCACGCATGCATAACTCCTGATGTCCGCTAGAGCTGGGGTCCGTCCACCTCAAGGGACTTATATGTGGAAATAAAGGCTATAAAATGATTAATATGAATTAAACAACACATATTACATTCAAATTGATTGAAATGAACAAGTAAATAAATTATTATGTAAAATAAATTGTATTATTTTAAATGTACATAACAGTACATTAAAATTAATAAATGAATAAATAATGGATTTAAATAAAATAAATAAATATAACAGTACATTAAAATGATTGATTTATTTACATGTTCATACATTGATTTATATTTTTTATTCATTCAATTAATCCATTTTACTGCCATGTAAATGTATATGTGCACAATGTATTACTTTATTAATTTATTTTAAACAAAGTAATAAATATGACAGTATTCAAAATTGATTAATTGAAAGAATAAAAAAATAAATCGATTTAAATAAAAAATACAAATAACAATACATTAAAAAAATGTTAAATTGATAAATAAATAAAGAAATGTATTTAAATAGATAAAATAATAGATATAACAGTACAATAAAAACGTATTAAAATTTATTTAAATAAATACATATAGCAGTACATAAAAGATTGATTAAAATGAATTGATAAAAAGTTAGATTTACAGGGAAAAAAAGGAAATTTCTATTGAGAACTTGTTCTCAACTGATTTTACCTGGTTAAACAAAGGTTTAAAAATATTAAATAAAAATATTGCAGGTAGAGAAAAACAACAGAATGTAATTTAATATTTTCCAAATAATGTTTTACACATTATCATAGTATAATTTGGGTATAAACTGACTTAAATATCAGGACACGAGTCCCTCCGTGAGGAAGATCATATTTTGGGATCGAATGCTTTTACATACTGATAATTGTAAAGTAATCTACTCACTGTTCCTCATGGATGCTGTTGTTCTGATTGGCTGTAGATGGAGCCGTTGTGTCGGGAAGCTCCTGTAAATCACTTCATTCTTCCGACCATTTTCCAATCGATCAAGTGTCATCGTGTCAATCATTTAATGTCAAGAGTAAATAAAGTCACATCGCAATCAGCAGCATTGTGAACCTCTGATTAAACACACATCAAGTGCCTCCAATTTACGGCATTAATTTCTGATTGTATTTGCCATGATTTGAGTGATTGCACAATGGCAGAGGAACAACACAGTCTCGTCCGTCTGATCCCGCTTCTGTTTCTCCTCCAGATCTGTCCGACTGTGAGCTTGTTAGTTTCCCTGACGGCGTCTTCAGGATGATGCGCAGCTGCACACACACCATACACACCATCTCTCTGGCCAACAACCACATCAAAGCCTTGAGCAGCAAGTTCTTCCTCACCTTTACACAGCTCAGAGGTGAGACAGCTCAGTCAACAGCTTCACATTACGAAACATTTACAAAAATACTGACTTGCACTGCTTTTGGCTCAGTAAGATTGAAAAATAGGGCTGATTAATCGCATCCAAAATAAAAGTTTGTGTTTACTGTACATAATATATGTGGGTGCGCTGTGTATAATTATTTTGTATATGTAAATGCACACACATGCATGTATATTTAAGAAAAAAAATATTATTTATATATAAAATATTTATATATAATGTAAATTATATATAAATCTATATACAGTATATACATGAAAATATTTATTAAATATATACAAGCATGTGTGTGTATTTATATATATATATATAATAATTATACACAGTGCACCCACATATATTATGTACAGTAAACACAAACCTTTATTTTGGATGCGATTAATCGTTTGACAGCCCTATTAATTCCATGTACATTTAAGAAAAAAATATTATTTATATATAAAATATTTATATTTATATATAATATAAATTATATATACATCTATATACAGTATATACATGCATGTACATTTAAGAAAAAAATATTATTTATATATAAAATATTTATTTTTATATATTAGATATAAATCTATATACAGTATATGCATGAAAATATTTATTAATATATACAAGCATGTGTGTATTTATATATATATATATATATACACACAGTGCACCCACATATATTATGTACAGTAAACACAAACTTTTATTTTGGATGCGATTAATCGTTTGACAGCCCTATTAATTGCCTACTTTTATTCAGCAAGGATGTTTTAAATTGATCAAAAGTGACGGTAAAGACATTTATAATGTTACAAATTTTATGAAAAATCAAAAACAATCATGAAAAACAAAATGTATTAACTGTAAAAACAACTGTTTTCAACTGATAATTATGTTAATCATAAATGTTTAATCAAATCATCATATTAGAGTGATTTGTGAAGGGTCATGTGACACTGAAAACTGGAGTAATGATGCTAAAAATCACAGGAATAAATTACACTTTACTATATGAATAATATTTCTACTGTATTTTTGATCAAATAAATGCAGCAGAAGAGACTTAATGCATCTGTAGTTGCAAAATATTCTCCACATCAAGCTGTTTCAGAGTGACTTGCAGTGGTTGCATCATTTGCAATGCTTCATGGGCTTAGCGTTGCACTGAATAGCTCTGATAGACACGCAGGTGAAACTCGAAAAAATTAAAATATGGTGCGAAAGTTCATTTATCTCAGTAATTGAACTTAAAAGTTGAAACTAATATATTATATAGACTCATTACATACAAAGTGAGATATTTCAAGCCTTTATTTGGTATAATTTATGAAAGCCTTTTCACAATATTCTAATTTTGAATATGGGGTTTTCATAAGCTTTCATAAATTAGAACAAATAAAGGCTTGAAATATCTCACTTTGCATGTAATGAGTCTATATAATATATTAGTTTCACCTTTTATTGAAATAAATGAACTTTTGCACCATATTCTCATTTTTCGAGTTTCACCTGTAGATCACATGACGAGTGTGTGTGTGTGTGTGTTTTGTACTTGTAGAGCTGGACCTGCAGGGAAACGTCCTCACGAAGCTGCCAGAGGCGGTCGGAGACATGCAGCACTTGGTCAACATCAACATCTCCAAAAACAAGCTGACGGTTTTCCCCGAGCGCCTGATGGACGTCAGAAGCCTCGAGCACATCAGCCTGGAGGGGAACGACATCACAGGTGACAATCACATCACTCACAGTGTTTCTCATGCTCAAACAGGGTTAAAAAGACTATTTTTAAGGGTACAACAAGCACACAGTGACTTTCCCAATCAGCGATTGGCTGTTTTATTTAGAAGGCGGGGCTTATTCAGTTCAATAGAGAGTTAAAGCCCAACCATAAAATATCATAAAACCACTAGACTACTGTTAAGATAAGTTTTCCTTCTATTTTCCACACATCATCTGTTGTCATATATCTTTGAAATGACACGAGGATGAGTAAATAATTAATTCTTAGGTGAATTATCTCTTTAATTATCCCCAAACGCAATAAACAGGCACAAAGTGTGCTAGCACTGATAAACAGTTATGGTGATGAAGTCTCATTAGGCCGGTACACACACACATTATACAAAACACACGAGTGAAAGAGAAACAAGATCTGAAAAATAGGGCAAAAACACATTTTTTACATCAAAATGATCAAAAGTACTGGAAATCTGACCTATTTTGGGCCTTTTAACATCTTTTGCATTGCAACATTATTCTCATTAAGCACATTTCCCCTCTCATTGTCATTAGTGTAATTAAAAGAAATGCTAAATTTGTAATTCTCAAAGGTTATTCTTCATAAAGAAACTGTAATAAAAATCGTCAAAAACATTGAATGCCTTTATATATATATATTGCATTATGAACATGTTTTAATGCATTAAATATGCCTTGTTATGCATCTTATAATAAATTATGAAATGAATACTTGAAGAGTTCAGATGCAAAAGCCTCTAAGTGCCATTTGAAATTTTCTTCTAGAATGATGATTTTTATCAAGCTTGTATATTTAAGTTCAGTGATTTCACTTAAATGGCAATGATAATTACCTATTAATTGTTATTTAAGTGAAATTACTGAACTTAAATATACAAGATTGATAAAAATCATCATTAAAGAAGAAAATTTCAAATGGCATTTAGAGGTTTTTGCATCTGAACTCTTCACTTGTAACCAGTATATTCATATTACAGTACTATTATAATAATCTATTCATTGAACACACCTTTAGAAAGTATAATGCATTAAAACGCATGACGAACAACCATTTAAGGTGTAAACTGCAAATATTACACTGCATTTAACCCTATTTGTGAAAAGATATAATGCATTACAACATATGTATATCTTTATAATGCATTATACATGAAGTTAAAGTGTTACTATGGCTTTCAAAGCACCTAAACTCGTCAAACACACAGAAATGTGTTCCTCTGACAGTCAGAGAAATGAAGTCTCGGCCCGAACTCTCCCAGAGATGCGGAAATTACATGGAAAGTTCAGAAAATGTCAGTCTGTCACAGATCATCATGAGATATTAAGTGCATCTGCACATGCTGAACTAGAAATTCATTTCATTATAGTCAATAAAATTCAAACCCATGCAATGCCTCAGGATATATATTAAAAAATTTACGTCTTGAATGAATAATTGACAGATACAGACACTGATGCACGAAACTACACTACTACAACTTCTGATTTCCACAGCTTTTTTGAAGCGGCTGTAGGGAAAACTTCAGGAAAATTGCACAATGAACTCATGTTGTGATAATTAGACGCAAACTAATCGGATTTCATATTTTTTCCATTGTATTAGTCATTTAAAAATATGAGATTGCTCATTTTTTTTAAAAATAAGTCTCTTCTGCTGCACTAAAGCTGCTTTTATTTAATAAAAAAATACAGTAAAAAATGTATTCCTGTGATCAAATGCTGAGTTTTCAGTTTTACAGCAGGAACAGTGGCTTCTATAATACTTCTAAAAAAAAGATTCAATTCAAATAAAACCAGTGCTCGAATTGAGTCAAGTCTTATGGGGGGTCCCCAATTTTTTTCTTTGGGGGGGTAATAAATAGTATATATTTATACACAATATGCATAAATATATACAATGTATTAAAACCGCTTGATAAAGAACTATATAGGCTATATATATAATTATTCTTTTAAATTACTTACTAAAGTAATACTGGATTTAGAGGGCAGCAGAATTTTCACAAATTTTCAGCATCATTACTCCAGTCTTCAGTGTCGCTCGATTCGTCAGAAATCATTCTAATAGTAATATGATGATCAACAAACATTTATGTAATAAACATTTATTTTATTTTTCAGGATTTTTTATCAATAGAAAGTTCAAAAGAACAGTTTCTATTTGAAATAGAATCTTTTGTTACATTATAAATTTCTTTACTGTCACTTTTGATCAATTTAATGCGACCATACTGAATAAAAGTATTAATTTATTTCACAACATTTTTTAAAAATACATTCTTACTGACCGCAAGCTTTTAAATGGTAGTGTATAAAGCTACAAAAGTTTATATTTCAGATCTAAAGGATCATGATGAAGACTGGAGAAACGATGGTTTTCAGCTTTGATCACAGAAATAAACAATATTTTATTATATTATTATTATAAACTGTAATAATATTTCATAAAATTACTGTTTTTACTGTATTTTGCATCAAATCAATGCAGGCTTGGTGAGCAGAAAAGACTTTTGAACAGTTGTGTACATCCAACAGAATGATTTATTTACAAATGTTGTTTTTAACCTAAAAACAACTGGATGATTAATGTGAATTATTTGACACTGTGGTAACAATGTTTGTTCCAAAAGACTTGATTAAATAGATGAAACTTGTGTATTAGATATTATATGGTGGGGATTTTTTCGACTATTTCAGCACATGCGATTTTTACATAGTTACGTCCAGTAGGTGGCGGAAAGGCACTCAGTAGGTCAGCAACTATTCAACGACCATGATTTCAGTGAAAAGGGCTGCTTTATTCAGAAACAAACAATGCCATGCCAATCGATGTCAATTATTGCTATTTTAAGAGTGAATGCGTATGTAATTCTCACAACATTTTTTGTTTACGTGGCCGATCCTGGCAACATGAAAAACAAGTTTTATACAAATTCTGAATGGAAATTAGAAAGCACACAACGATCGCTCCCTTTGCAGAAAAACTGTCGAGATAGCACTCCCGTAGAACCAGGGCTATTAATAATGGGAAAAAAGTAACTTAAGCCTAAATGTTTCCAATTTACGCAAGGAGTACAGAAGCCCCGATGGTGTGGGTAGATATAAAGTAGAAAGATATATAAAGAGAGACAATTACTTTCTCTTCCCGACCTTGAGTGGAGGTTTATCTTTCTCCATTTCGTTAAAATTAGCTTCAACGGAGCAGCGTCAATCAAACAGTCCTGTCAGTCAACGATGTCATGCGCACAGCACTCTTTAGAGGTGGGGCGGACGTTTACATTTTAAAGCGACATGGCAACTAGCCAACTTAAAAAAATATATTGTAAATAATCAATTCACGGAATTTACCGTATCCATTGCATGCATTTAATCAGATTTGTTATTATTATTTTTTACTAAAATAAAAATATCTGAGGGACCCCCCTCTATTTTTTACTTCTTATGGGGGGTCCCTAATACCTTATGGGGGGTCCCGGATCACCCCAGCCCCCCCTCAATTCGAGCACTGAATAAAACCCAGATGCTAAATCATGGTTTCCATGGCGATGAGTCTTCTGTGTGATTATCAGACGGCTACAGAACAGAAGATAAAAGCATCTCGTGATAATCTCAGTCGATCTCAACACGACATTACAACAGGCGACAGTGATAAACACATCAGGCTCTCATTTCACGCTTCGACTGGCTTTCAGTGCTTCAGTAACACCAGGGTTTACTGAGACATTTCTGCTTCACTAGTGGCACAATAATGAGTGTTTCCCGACAGGTTTCCGGAGCATTCCTACAGCCATTGCTCAGTCGAGTCTCTTTCATTTATAAAGTGTGGATCGTTTCAAAGCAGCTTTACCGAGATAATAGAAATGACCATAGTCTGTACAACGGCATTAGGATAAAGTTATTGTCCAGCTAAAGTTAGTTTTGATTGATTCACTTCCGTTGCAAATATCATTAAAGGAGAACTCCGGTCAATATTAACATTGAGCTCATTTTTTTTAGTACATTTGGAGTGCTGTCAGTACAGACAAAAACGACAAAATCGATGTTGCCTACAAATTCGCACCCTGTTGACTTCAATGGGGCGAGTTCTAAACCTGCGTTTAGCCTCTTAACATCCTTGATTTGTCATTACAAGTTCACCGCCATGTGAGTGGTGTTATTAAGAGTGACCACGGTCAATCGGACTGCAGTAGATGTGAAAGTCAAATACGTTAATAAAAATTATGTCAAATCAGCCAGCTCACGTACCCGTATACTTCCTGTTTTCGCTCGAAGTCCACAATAGTCGATTGTCGAGTTCGCGCGTTATTGCTTAGATACCAATGATCCATAGACATATACACTAGACCTCACCTGGGGGTTCTAAGCATGCGTCAAAACCGCCGCCATCTTGGAACAGGGGTCTTGTCATAGGAAGTAGCTAGGTAACGCTGCTATCTCTGCCTTTACTTCGAATTCATTAATGGTGGTGGACTTTTGTGCAGCGTATGAAGTTCACGGATGAAATCTGAACTAGGAAGAATGTTTTAAAAAAAAAAAATTAAAAAATTTTTTTTTCTTTCTGGAATCAATGATAAATACATGTCTGACTGTTGGAACAAACCAAAAAAACTAGAAAAATCGCATTCATGATGATTTATGGTGATGTTATTTGCGTTAGACCTGTGTCTACTACATTGACGCTGATGCATTAAAGTGGAGGGGCTCCCCTGTTTCAAGATGGCGGCTCTATTGACGCATTCGTTCTAATGAACTGCCGTATCCAAGGTGAGGTCTAGTGTATATGTCTATGCCAATGATCGTGCGCGCAAACTCGACAATTGACTACTTTTGACTTCGACCGAAAACAGGAAGTAAATACGGGTATGTGAGCTGGCTGATTTGACATTATTTTTATTAATATATTTCACATCTACTGCAGTCCGATTGACCGTGGTCACTCTTAATAACTTTAGCCTTTAAATGGGCCGCTAACACGACGCCCGACGCCGCGCTCTAACAGAAAACTCTTAAAGGGATAGTTCACCCATGTCACTAACGACTCTCCCTGGTCCTCTGCTCATCTTCGGAACATAGTTTAAGATATTTTAGTAAATAAATAAATGTAACAAATTAGAATATGTGAACATTTGATACCACAGTGTTTTAAAGGTCCCGTTCTTCGTGATCCCATGTTTCAAATTTTAGTTGGTGTGTAATGTTTTTAGAGTATAAATAATATCTGTAAAAAAGCGAGATATTTTATTTAACAGAAGTAGCCTACATCGAACGGCCCGTTTGGACTACATCCCTCGTTTTCCTTCTTTAATGACGTCAGTAAAACAGTTTTTGACTAACGTCCCCCCACATGCTCCCTCAACTCCCTCAACTTGCGCACTTCTTATAACCATAGACAGTATAAGAATTTCTTCTTTTTTTTTTTTGTAAGTATATTTATTGAACATTTTCCAAATTAAACAAAACACAACACGGATTACCACCATGAGAAAAAAAGGGCATAAATGACACCAATCACATTTAACATAGGCCACTTTAAAGTTAAAAAACAAATAAAGGTACAAACAATCTCAGACACAATAAGTACTCACTCAAAAGGCATTTGTGTGGGGAAACCTTTCTGCAGAATAGTTGACAACTCAACCCCGAGATTATTTATATAGGGTTTCCAGATAATATATTATAAAACTGGTCTGGCTGACCATTAACTACACAAGTTAAATATTCCAACGGAATAAGTTCCATTAAAATCTTGTGCCAACCCGATATAGTAGGAGTCTTGTCATTTATCCACCTCAGTAATATGTTTTTCCTAGCAGCAAAAGTAAGAACATTATATAATCTTTTTTCTTTTGAAAGAATCAAAGCTTTATCAGGCAGACCCAGTATCAAAAATAAAGGATCCAATGTCAACTCCATATTAAAGACACTACTCATTTCAGAAACTATCTTGGCCCAATATATTTGTAACTGATTACAGTATAAGAATTTCTGATATTATCATCATTCTGTCCTGAGAGACTGAGCGCGAGCTCATGAAGCTCCGCCCCCTGTGCCGGCAGCTCATTTGCATTTAAAGGGCACACACTAAAACAGCGCGTTTTTTTTTTTGAGCCCCAAAAAATGACAATTTAAGCATGCTGTAAAAAATGATCTGTTGGGTATTTTGAGCTGAAACTTCACATACACATTCTGGGGACATCAGAAAAGTGGCATAATACGGGAGCTTTAACTTTCACACACACACACACACACACACACATTACTGAGGGTCACTGTGCTGGACAGTAGGGAAACACACTGAGGTCAGACACAATATACATGAAAAGTAAAATTAAAATGCTGGTGGATCAACTGAGGTGTTTGCTGTGTGAAAGGCGTTCATAAAATCCCATATTAATATAGAGTTTAGCTTTTACTGGTTGGTTAATGACCCGCATGTTTTCAGAGGTAAACGGGGCTGAAATGTATTTGTGATGTTGACACTGATGCCTGTCTCCAAACTTATGCATGAGTGAAGTTTTGATCAGAAAGGAAAGGAAATAAAAATGGAAAAAGATGGAAACGTTTTTTAGAAATGAGTTCTGTCATCCTATTTCACGTCTCGAGACTCCAAATCCTCCGTTTAAAATCCTCTAGCTGTTTATTAAAGTTTTTTTTTTTTATAAAATCTTTGATGTTTTTGTGAATGATCTTAAAGTCAAAGTCTCTCTCTCACACACACACACACACACAGATTTGCCGGTGGAGAAGCTGTCTCTGATGCCCTCACTAAAGACTGTGGATGTGAGGTGTAACCCGCTGGTGGTCGACTCCTCGTCTCTCCCGCATCAGTTCACGATCCTCACGTAACACACGAGAGACGCTCATCATGCTGTGCCGCAGAACTTTTCAATAAATATTTATTAAACTGTGTGAACGACTTCTGCTCTTCTTGTTGGACAGATGGACACACGCTGCTTCATTTTCATTCTGGCTGTGATGGGAAATTATATTTCAAAACTCAATAACTCAATATAGGAATTCAGTTTTTTCTCCATAACGCATTTAAGATTTCTATGAATATTTAATGCTGCGTTCACCTTGTCGATCAGAATTACTATAATTATGACTTGCCGCTTCGGACACAGAGATTGTTCATTTCTCTGGCAATGTTCACATTATGTGTCCATGTGTCTTTTTTATCTATGAAAGGCACATTAATATTAACTACATTGATATTGTGTATGCTTTTGAACAATATTGAAGAACACAGTGCATCAGGTTACAGATAATAAAACAGCGTATTGAACAGAAATATATATTATTTAACTACTGGGATAGATTATGCAATTTATATTCATGCAATATATATATATATATATATTAGAGCCAGACCGATATATCGGCCGATATTAGGCATTTTCCAAACTATCGGCATCGGCAGTTATAATGGCCGATAAATGAATATTTTAAAAATAAAATAAAAACGGACTAAACACGCTTGAACCATGTCATGTTGGAGTTGTATAGTTTGTCCACCAGAGGGCGCTCTACACCGTCCCTGTTGGCAACACTCGTTGAGTTGGTCACGATGCATATATTGCTTGATTAACAATTAAAAGAACATCCCCATCAGTTCTCTTAACTCAAATAAGCAGGACAAAATTTGTGACTATCATGTCCAGTTTAAAATAAATAAATAAAATATCGGCCGATATATCGGAATATCGGATTTTAAAACCCAAAAATATTTGTATCGGTATCGGCCTTCAAAATCCTTTATCGGTCGGGCTCTAATATATATATATATATATATTTTTTTTTCCAACAGGTGTTGTCTATACAATGAACTTTCAAAATTGTATTTATAAAATACATAATATGCCTGTCTGTATCTCTGAGCTGTGTGTGTCCAGCATTAGCAGCCGCTGCTGATCCAGGAAGACTCGGAGAATCAGAGAGATTGTAATGGTTCCCTCGGGACAGTCTAGTGTTTATCACGAATCGGGACGATCAGAATCAGATTAACAACAGCGTTCAGTCCTTGTGTTTCAAAGGCCACTCTGATGATTTTTCCTATTGTCCAAATGCCAAGGAGCCGATTACTCATCAGATCTGCTATACACACATTGATGATGCATTTTAAACTAGGAAACGATTGCCTCACTGTTTCTCTGTTTCTTTAAACATTTATTCTGATTCTCCATGCCGGTTTTGCCTTTTTCTGATAGTTTTAAGATCCCTGATATCAGTAACGCAGCAGTGATTGACCAAAACTGAGCATTTAAATATCATCTGTAAGATGCCAGATATTGATATCTATGTGCATTTTATGTCAGTATCAGCTGGACGGTTATAAAAATCTCATTGATTTACATTACAAGCATCAGAATTCAATCAACTTTTTGTCCATATAAATATCAGCATCTGCACCAAATTGCATATATTTGCTCAGTTTAAGTCTCTGAGCTGTTTTTCATCCACATTCTCACCATATCGGACTATATCAGCCATAAAAGCCTGATGGATCAATCAAGATTTTTTTTTTTCATTTTGTCTACTTTCGATAAAATGTTCCATTTCAAACTAAATAGATGTTTCTGACTATTATTGCACATGTCAGGCTTTACAGGGTTAAACATGATGTAACTAATGTGATCAGAAACAAAGACTTTCTCATTGTGAAACTTTCTCACCGTTCACAGCGGAACAGATGCACTCTAAACGCTGCTGGGTTGTTTTAACCCAACATTTGGGTCAAATGTCAACAAACCCAAATGTTGGGTTAAAAGGAGATCTGAGATGATAGAAGAGCAGTCGTTTATTAAATCAATGAACATGCTAATGAGACATGAAGATGAACATTATTTATATTATATAAAGTTATTATTATGAACATCTCAAGATGTCATTCCATTTTTGCTCGATTTTCGTGGAAGAAAAAGACAATAGGCTACACTCTAAAAAATGCTGGGTTGTTTTAACCCAACTTTGGGTCAAATATGGACTAACCCAGCCGTTGGGTTAAATTTTTACATTACATTTTTAACCCAACATTTTGGGTTTGTCCATATTTGACCCAAAATTGGGTTAAAACAACCCAGCATTTTTTAGAGTGTACACTCTAAACAATGCTGGGTTATTTCAACACAAATTTGGGTCAAATATGGACAAACCCAAATGTTGGGTTAAAAATGTAATTTAAAATTTTCACCCAACTTCAACTTTGACTCGTGCATTTTTTTAATTACATTTTTAACCCAGCATTTGGGTTTGTCCATATTTGACCCAAATTTGAGTTGAGACAACCCAGCATTTTTTAGAGTGTAAATTTAAATCGTATGTCTGATATAAGTTTTTATTCATTGTATTTTTAATACCGATATAAAGATAACAATTACATATGGAACAATGAGGGTTACATTATATCATCACAAAGATTATTAAAAGAGTCTCACATGCAATAGAATTTATAGATTTCTATAAAGAATTTAAACATATATCAATAGGCCCTATCTTTCTTGAAAAGAAAATGTACACTTATGGATGTAAAATTTGGCAGGAAATAGTAATGCATTTATAAATGTACAAAATGGAAATAAAATAAGACACAATAGGGTGTCCTTATTATATTGTTATTTATTTTACATTTACATTTATTTTTACACATTACGATTATTTGTCTTTAATTGGTCTCTCTCTCTCTCACACACACACACACAAACGCGCTCTCTCTCTCTCTCTCTCTCTCTCTCTCTCTCTCTCTCTCTCTCTCTCTCTCTCTCTCTCTCTCTCTCTCTCTCTCTCTCTCTCTCACACACACACACACACACACACACCCTCTCTCTCAGGGCGGTTCGCGCATCCGAGCAGGAATGTGTGTTATTTCTGAATGCATCGACATCTGATCGGTTATTTCAGCACATGTGTCCGGGAAACTCATTAGCATGTGATGGTAATTAATGTGGGATTCAGTGCGGATGTGTGTGACATCATCACTAATCAACAGATGCAGGATCCGCACACTTTACAAGGTAAGAACTTTTTCATTTTATCATATATCCAGTGTTGGGTGAGTTACTCTAAAAAAGTAATTAATTACTAGTTACTAATTACCTCTTCAACAGTGTAATTAGATTACTGTACTAATTACTCTCTCTAAAAAGTATTTAATTACTTTTAATTACTAATTACTTTCAAAATCCCATATCAATCTCAACCAGCTGAATAATACAATAGACATGAATCTGTTTTAATTCTTTCAAATAAATACTATAAAATTGCATTAATTATCCTTAAACTGACCAAGGTGGAGAAGGTTACATTATAAAAACACACTTTTTAGCATCAGACAATATATTTTGATGTTAAACCCACTATTGTTTTATTTCTGATCTAATGACATTTCACACTTTTTTCATACATACTTTACAATAATTCATACGAATTTGTACGAGTGCGGTCGTAATATTTAGACACCTCATAAAATGCATAAGAATCGCTGTGAGATCGGATTGATCTATATACAGTATTTACCTCAATTACATCAGAAGTAACTGTAATTAAATTACAGATAAATGAAGAGTAATCCTTTACTTCACATTTTCAAGGGAAAAGTAATTAAATTACAGTAACTAAGTACTTAGTAATTAGTTACACCCAACACTGCATATTTCTAACTTAATATCTGTACATCTAATTGCATAATACTAACCAACAGCAAGCAAACATCACATTAGATCAACTTGAACACCTTTTGCGTGCTTAAGCACAAACAACGTTAATGAAAATTAACAAAATATCATTCTTTAAAAATATTAAAGTTAATATTATTTGATATTATTAACGTTAAACTATTTATTATCAGTATTATTTAATATTTATAGACTATTAAAGTTAAATCGACGTTTGATTTAAATGCATTAGCCTATGTAATACATTATTAAATGCAATGTTAATTTATCTTAAATAAGTTTGGTTGTACATGCAATCAAAAAAAGAAGATGTAGCTTTAGGGAAAAGCAGGGACATTAGCCTCTAAACATAGCCTACTAATATACATCGATCTCATTCAGTAGGCGATACGTCTCTTTCAAAAGTTGAAGTAACACATAGCATGAAAGTGCCACAGGCGTACCATAGAATATAATTATTCAGTGCTGTCCAATCAAAACTTTTAATTAGACTCTTTGGGATTACAGATGTTCCTTCAGCCCTGCATGTATTACAGGAAACACGAGTTCTGCAATTCAGCATCAATATTATTAAAAATGATGAGTAATGTATAAGGGAAAGTGCATCTGATCAACATGTTTTTGCTTTATTGCATATTGTATTTTGAAAATGTTATGAGCTCATAAAAATCACACATTTATTTAATCATTTTTTAAACTATCAGATCATGAACACAGCAGCAAATGCATGTCATCCACCTGAATGAAGAATATATACATAGGCAGCATGACATTATACTAAAGTTTAATTTAATTGAGACAAAGAGTTAAAATAAATGAATTATGTTGGTAAAATAACACCAAAGGACAATACATGATATACCAGACAAAACTTTGAATGATCTCAGTGCAGCTGTATTTCAATGAAAAGGCAATTTTATGACTTAACATTGTGATTATCTTTTAGTTGTTCATATTGATCCATATTGATCCATATCCATGTGAACACAAAGCATGGCAAGACTTCATCAGCGAAGAGAGCGTCGAACGCTAGAAGGATTGTGTCTGAATAACAGAACTGCAGCAAAGCTCAATATTCACCCTGAAGATGATCATGTTTCCACTAAAACTGAGTCAAGCCAACATCAATGAAAGAGCGAAAGTTTGATCACTGATAGAAGAAGAGGGAGATATGATCATAAATCTGGTCACAGGTTTATCATATGCCACAATTACAAATGAGAACATCACAAAAAGTGCAAAGAAAATTATTTCAACAAATCAGCCAATGGGATCAGAACAATAATCTTGTTCAGATGTTTGTAACATTCAGAAAGATTCCTGCCACTGCACACTTAAGAAAAGGTTCTATCAGCACTACGTATTTGGAACCCCTAAAAGGTTCTAAGGGTTCCTCTGGGTTCTATATAGAACCCTGGGGTTCCATACTTGGCCAATAGAACCTTTTATCAAAAAAAGGTTCTATATAGAACCATTTTGGAGTTCCATATATGAAGCGGGGGATGGAACCATTTCTGGTTCTAAATAGAACCATTTCTACTAAGAGTGTGATCTGTTTTCTCCCTTAGATTTGGAAAGTATCTCAGCGATGGATTTCATCATGCTTTACACCGAGAACACCAGCGTGAACCACACCTCGCTCTTCAACAACATCACGCTCTTACCGTATTACCAGCATTCGCTCGCGGTGGCCACCGTCTTCATCCTGGCATACGGGCTCATCTTCTCGCTGTGCATGCTGGGAAACCTCCTGGTGTGTTTCATCGTGCTGAAAAACAGGCAGATGCGAACCGTCACCAACATCTTCATCCTCAACCTGGCCATCAGCGACCTGTTAGTGGGCATCTTATGCCTTCCCATCACGCTGGTGGACAATCTCATCACAGGTACATCAGGGTTTCAGTTTCCTGTTAGACTTCACATGCAAACTCCATGCTGCCATGTTCATGAGCTCTCGGCCAATCACCTGAGCCGTAGATGTCACGTGACTCTATATCACAAGAGTCCATTTCATGCTTTAACCCCAAAACGCTGGATCAAGAGTTACTCTATCAAATTTATCAACTCTAAATGATCAAAACTTTCATGTCACACAGTTCTTCTGTCTCTGACTGATAGTTTAGAAAAAAGTTTAGTTTAGTTAGTAAAAGTCTTTTAGTATATAATTGTAAAAACGTCCTCCTTCAGCTCGAGCTTTATAAGTCTATCAAAAGTTATGACTTATAAATATCAAAGTTATTCTTATGTTTACCTTATAAAAATCAGAGCAGATTCACAGCAGAAAGACACTTGAAGTTCACTGATTTTTATAAGGTAAACATAAGAATAACTTTGATATTATACGTCATATTTCAAGACGAACACTTACTGAAGCAACATTATAGCTTTTAACTTGATTATAGAAAAATCATGAGTATAATATATGATCAGACTTCTGAGGAAGGTTTATTAGTTCATCTCTCAATCATCATTGTATTGCAATTCATTATATGTTTTAAAACTACAGAGCTCTGATCATAAATCTGAGCATTTAAATATCATGATACGAAGACATTATTGGCAGATATTAATATGCACTGTAAGTATCTGCTGTAGACTACTGTTATAAAGATTTTCTATACAAGCACTTTTGTTCTCATAAATATCAGCATCTACAGCATATTTTTGCTCAGTTTGGGCCTCCGAAAATTGAGCTGTTTTCCTCCATATTCTCCTGTATCACACTGAGCCATCAAAAGCTTGATGCATTAAATATGACATTCAACAAAAAACACAAATGCAAACTTATTTATTGAACTGACTCTAAAGACTCGAGTTTTTTTTTCTTGCAGTGTAGTTCTAGTTCTGATAGTGATTAAACCTCCAGCACAAAGTGCTGTGTGTGTGAATCGTCCTATAAGAGCAGGAACAGTCAATTCATTCGCTTCACATGTACAACATCTTGTGCGCGTGTTTGTGCGTATGATGTCATAATTACATACCGTTGACTCAGATTAAATCCTTTGCTGTCCATCATTTGCATACAGGCCATGTGTTGTGTAGAGCACTGTTATGCCAGGTGATTTTGTTGTGTTTTAATTACAGTTGCATCATGGGAAGAGTTTTTTCGCTCAAAAATATAGTAGTATTCCGTAATTCCGTGTATATGTAAGCAATAAGGTTCTCGAGGCTGTGCTCACTGTTGCCAACTATTTTCAAAGAAAAGTAGATAAGGCCTTCCCTAAAAGTCGCTAGATAACGTCATAATACAATTAGCATATTAATGACGTCATCGCGTCGTACTTGCGGTCTGTCAGTCTAGTGCGTTTTCTCTCTAAATGAATGCTGTAGGCTATTTAATATAATTTAGACGAATGTCAAATAAAGCTGTTTTCATTTCCTTTTTTTTTGTCAGACAATAGAACGAGTATACAGTGAATGATTACATTTTTATAGGCCAATGTGGATCATTGAGCTCTGTAATAACAACCATACGAAGAAAATGGTCAAACTAAATTCTTTAAATAGCCTATAAAACAAAAGAAAAGCAGATAAGTGACAAGTCTGTGGGAAAAAAAAGCTGCTCATTCGCGTCTTGTCAGCGGCCGTGCGCGCTCCTCTCAGCCATTCACTGAACGGGGAGTAACGACAGGGAGAAAGCAAGACCTCGCGCTCACAGGACAGTACTACCAATATTTGAAGGTTCCTGAGGTTTGTCCAAAAAGTCGCTAATATTGTCGCTTGTCGCTTTTTTGAAAAAAAAAATGTCGCTAAAGGGGTCTATAAAGTCGCTAAAAATAGCGACAAAGGCGCGTGCTGTCTCCTGAATAAGTAACGGCTGAAGGGCGTTGTGGGCTCGACGCGAAGTGGAGTAACGTTAACCCCTTTAGCCGTTACTTATTCACGATAAAGCATTTTATAAAACGGTTACCACACAATACAAATATTAAAGTTAAAAAAATGTATTAGTGCAACTTTCATGAAGTAAAATCACTAAAAGCCTTCCTTCCGCAAGAAAAAATAGTCCCTGAGCGTGAACAGATGTGTAATCTGCATGAAACCTCAAATAAACACAACATAGAAACTGCAGTGTTGCGCAGTGATACACAGAACCATAGCCGTGTTATATCATGAATAAAGCACAGCTTTTGACCAATCAGAATCAAGGATTGGAACTAACCGTTTTATAAAAATAAATATACAGCACACTTGTCATTTTCCTCTGCCTGGAATCAAATGTTATGAATTCATCTCATCTCACAAACAGGTTGTTTGGAGGTGTAGAATTGGGTTTTCTTTGAGCTGTACATAAAGTGCTCTTCTCTCTCTGTCTGTCATTATGTCTGACACAGGTTGGCCATTTGATGTAGTGATCTGTAAAATGAGTGGACTCGTCCAGGGAGCTTCAGTCTCGGCCTCTGTCTTCACGCTGGTGGCAATCGCAGTGGAAAGGTTAATAATGCTCACCCACCTGCACTTCACATGGGATTACAAAAACCATCTTCAGGATGAAACAATGTTTGTGACCTTCTGAGCTATAAAAATACGCGAGCTTACCTGTCCTGCTATACTGTACAAGCAAAACCAGAACATTTGATATTCTAGGTATTATCAACTGGCCAGAATTTTGAGATCGCAGTAGAAGGACTATAATCAAGCACTGTGGAGCTAAACCATTTAGTGCTTTGCAAGTAATTAGCAATATTTTAAAATGCATACAATGTTTAACAGGCAGCAAATGCAGGGTTGACAGAACTGGGCTAATATGGACATACTTGATTCTGGTAAAAATTTGAGCTTTGGACCTGCTGTAATTTGTTTATTAAAAGAGTAGTTCACTTTTAAAAAAAACTTTTGCTGATAATTTACTCGCCCCCATGTCATCCAAGATGTCCACGTCTTTCTTTCTTCAGTCGAAAAGAAATGAAGGTTTTTGATGAAAACATTCCAGGATTTTCTCCATATAATGGACTTCAATGGGGTCCAAACGGTTCAAGATCCAAAAGACATTTTCAGTGCAAACTGCAAACTGTTCAAAGGGCTTTAAACGACACCAGACGATGAATAAGGGCCTTATAATATCTAGTGAAACGATCGCTCATTAAAAAAAATAAATAACAAAGTTTAAGTTTTATAAGCACAAATGCTCGCCTTGCTCTGTTCTGTGATGCGCGTTTGTGACTCTCCTGTTCGAACTCGTTCATCAAAATGAACAAATCTTTTTCCAAGTCAATTCGTTCGTTTTGTTTGTTGAATGAACCAAATGACTCGGAAAAAGATTCATTTTGATGAACGAGTTCGAACAGGAGAGTCACAAACGTGCATCACAGAACAGAGCAAGGCGAGCATTTGAGCTTATAAAACTTAAACTTAGTTTTTTTTTATTATTATTATTAAATGGCCACTCGTTTAGCTTGATAAGACCCTTATTCATCATCTGGTGTCATTTAAAGCCCTTTGAACAGTTTGCACTGAAACTGTCTTTTGGACCCCATTGAAGTCCATTATATGGAGAAAATCTTGGAATGTTTTCATCAAAAACCTTCATTTCTTTTCGACTGAAGAAAGAAAGACATGGACATCTTGGATGACATGGGGGTGAGTAAATCATCAGCAAAACTTGTTTTAAAAGTGAACTACTCCTTTAATATGTAGCGGGGAAAAAACACCCAATCTGGCAACACACGTCACCAGTGTCGCATGTAGTCGACAAAGCATCGAGGAGGCGTCGTATCCTATGATCAGTTTTAAGACAAGGTCAGTGAGGACGGGAAAAATTACATTGCTGTGCAAACTTTGCCGGCCGATTAAAATAATTGCTGTCTGTGTGGTTGTATATGAGCTGTGGTAATAATAAAAAAAAATAGCTCGCAGCAACATATGGAGAAAGAGAACTATAAGCTAAAACTGTGAACTTCCTATGAACTGAAATAGTTCAATCGAAAATAACTTTGAACTAGTTCATGTAGAAAGTGAACTTTCCCAACACTGCCCCCTTCAATCGGGTAGACATGTCCAGTGTCGAACAGATCAATACAAGTTCACATTTGCGCCAGAAGCCATTCGTATTTGTAATGCTAATTAGGTGTTCAAGCACGAAGTGCTGAAAACCTATTGTATTTGCTAGAAATAAAAAAAATCCCCTAAAACGCATCGTGCAGCCCAAACCGTAAGGCCTGGAGCTGTGAAACTTTGTCAGATGGTAACAAATTGTGGAGAAGCTATCAGAGTATGAGCCCGATTGGCCCATAGGTGGCGCTACAGCAACCAAAAGTACTAAATTGCTCATAACTCCTAGACCGTTTGACTTAGCTTCAATGTTTTTACACCACTGTAATCCCTGGCTCAAGACGGACAAGAGTTATATCTCGGATTTCCATTTGAAGCAAAAAAAAAAAGTGTTATTTCGGTTTTTGTCCAAAACCCACTTTTGCAAACTAGTCCCTGTTTTTTTGCCCGATCGGGACCAAACCAGTCTAGGCCTATTCTCTGGACTCTCTAGATCAATAATTATCGAAAAAAGGTTGAAATTTTTGCATTTGGTTGGCTGTAACAGGCTCACTTAGATAGTGGTCTGTGGCAAAATTCAGTCAAAAGCCCCTAAATCCCCCCCAAAAAGTCACAACTTCACAAAAATTGATGAGCATATGTGTCCTAACATGTTTAAGAAGCATGCAAAGTTTCGTGAGGATCGGATCATAGGTGGCGCTATAATCGTCAAAAAGGTCTCTCATTATTACGTGTTCAAGCACAGAGTGCTGAAAACCTATTGTATTTGCTAGAAATAAAATAAAAAATCCCCTAAAACGCATCGTGCAGCCCAAACCGTAAGGGCTGGAGCTCTGAAACTTTGTCAGATGGTAGGGCCTCAAATTGTGGAGAAGCTATCAGAGTATGAGCCCGATTGGCCCATAGGTGGCGCTACAGCAACCAAAGTTTCGTGAGGATCGGATTATAGGTGGCCAATGAGTGGTGTTTTACTGCCCGCTGCTGTTTAAATTATTTTTTTTTCACAATACTCAATTATAATTCATATTACAACTTCATCAATTCAATCTTTTAACATTTACAACCAGATTTAGTAAAAAATGACAATGATCCTGAAGTTGAAAATGAGTGTGTGAACTAAACTGTAGTAAATCATATTTTAACATGGTAAATTATGATAAATCATATTGGAACATGGTTGATTATGTAATATCACACTGAAATGTTGTATAATGTGATAAATAATGCCTGCTACATACAACTGAATGCCTTTTGATGCTTTTGTGCTTAAATGCCTTAAAGATCTGAACTGCTTGAACACCGATAAATGCTTTAATTTTCTTACTGAGGATTCTTGAGGGTTTTTTTCTTCTCTCTTCCTCCTTGTGTGAATTTTATTATGAAGCATGGTGTATATGTGATTGTTTTTAATGGATGTTTGTTATGTGATGCCACTGCTTTAATTTAATTGGCCCTTGAGGGATTAATAAAGTTAGTTAACCTCCGATAACCTGCTCTTCTTCCTCGTAGGTTCCGTTGCATCGTGTATCCGTTCCAGCGTAAGCTAACGCAGCGTCAGGCCATCATTAGCATCGCCTCCATCTGGGCTCTAGCCGTCGCCATCATGTGTCCCTCCGCCGTCACGCTAACCGTCTCCCAGGAAGTCCTGCACTTCATGGTGGACCGGGACAACGTCACGTACCCGTTGTTCACCTGCTGGGAGGCCTGGCCCGAGCGTAGCATGAGGAAGATCTACACCACTGTCCTGTTCTCACACATCTACCTGGCTCCGGTCACGCTCATCGGCATCATGTACACGCGCATCGCCATCAAGCTAGTCAAGTCTCCCGCCTCCATCCGCGACGCGCGCGCGGAGGACGAGAACCGCAGGGTTTTCCGCCGGAAGCTTCGAGTGGTGAACATGTTGCTAATGGTGGCTTTGCTGTTCACCGTGTCCTGGCTCCCGCTCTGGATCCTCATGATGCTAACGGATTACGGGAACCTATCGCCCGCGCATCTGGACATGGTGGCCGTGTACATCTTCCCGTTCGCGCACTGGCTAGCGTTCTTCAACAGCAGCGTGAACCCCGTGGTGTACGGATACTTCAACGAGAACTTCCGGCGCGGGTTCCAGGCGGCGTTCAGGATGGGTGTGTGTGTTGTGAAGGAGCCCAGACACAACGGCACCTGGAAACACAACCGCGTGTTTGCGGACGGAGACGCGGCAGGCGCTCAGGGGAACGTCAGGAGAGATTTCTGCACCGCAGAACAGCGGGATGAGCTGGTGCTCGAGGATCTGGACTGAGAACAACAAACACAAACACACACACACTGCAACACAAAACGCATTGCCATTTTTTATGAAAAGAAAATATATATCAATATGACTTTAATTATTATTATTAATAATACTTAATAAAAATATTCTAAATGGATATATTTTACTGCATCTAGTAAGAAAAATATGATAAAAATTTTCACTATTATTATGATACTATTAATATTAATAATAATCTAAAATTATTATTGTAATATTTTATGAAAAAAATATATATATATTACAGTACTAATATTGGCTGTCTAAAGTTAAACACTGTGGAGCCCTTAACGCCTCATATTATAATTTGGTCATGATTGTAATATGATTATCATATTTGACATTTGATGTTGTGATTTCAACTTTTTTTCATTATTATGACTTGCTACGTCATAATTTTGCTATAAGCTTTTGCTATATGCTTTTGCTATATCCTATATGCTATAAATTTGACCAAAAAAGGCACTAATTCATAATTATGAGATAACTACATCTAGTAAGAAAACTATGATTCACTCTTATTATGATACTATTAATATTAATAATAATATAAAATTATTATTGTAATATTTTATGAATATATATATATATATATATATGAAGAGTTCAGATGCAAAAGCCTCTAAGTGCCATTTGAAATTTTCTTCTAAAATACTCATTTTTATCAAACTTGTATATTTAAGTTCAGTTATTTCACTTAAATGGCGATGGTAATTACCTATTAATTGTTATTTAAGTGAAATTACTGAATTAAATATACAAGTTTGATAAAAATCATCATTAAAGAAGAAAATTTCAAATGGCATTTAGAGGCTTTTGCATCTGAACTCTTTATATATGTATATATATATATATATATATATATATATATTACAGTACTAATATTAATGGCTGTCTAAAGTTAAACACTGTGGAAACCACAGCGAGCCCTTAACACTTCATATTATAATTTGGTCATGATTGTAATATGATTATCATATTTGACGTTTGATGTTGTGATTTCAACTTTTTTTCATTATTATGACTTGCTACGTCATAATTTTGCTATAAGCTTTTGCTATATCCTATATGCTATAAATTTGACCAAAAAAGGCACTAAATCATAATTATGAGATAAAAGTTGGATTTTTCTTTTGTTAGAATTTTGAATAGAACTTTTCTTATAATTATGATTTTTTTGTCATAATTATTTTTTTTCTAATTTTAATTTTTAATCTCATAATTCTAACTTTTTATTCATCATTATGACATTTTAAGTCATAATTTTGAATTTAAATCTCAGAATTTTGATTTTTTTAGCCATCATTTTTATTTATTAATCTAATAACTTTAGTTAATTTTTTTCATAATTATGTTTTTTTTAAATAGGACTTTTAATTTCCTAATTATGATTTAACATGTCAAAAAATCTTTTTAATATATTTTTGACTCAATTTCACATAATGAGCTGATATATTGCAGCGCATTTATATTTATTTGATTAAATTACAAGCTGCATGGTTTGATAGTAGTTTGGCCAAAACATCGTATTCATCCTGTTCACTTGACTTGCATGGTTCATATATGAGCGACTGCCATGATGTGCTTTGATTTGTATGGTGCTTTTTAAAAAGTATAAATCACAATCCACTTTTGTTGCATTGGGCGCGTGAACTATGAACTTTCTCTCATAGGCCGGTGCATGCTGCAGATATGTGCATCACACATGAAATGCATTCATTAACTGCATAAGAAACTGTGAATGTATTAAATGATTCATGAACTGATGTGTGCTTGTGAGGATTGAGTTAATGTTTGCTGTTCTGTTTGAAATGCAGATGTATGTAAAACGATTATCTCTGTAGACTCACCCTGTAAAGTGTCTGTTTGCTCCTTCAGAAAAACTCTGGCAGGTAATTAGGGAAAACGAGTTGCGAAAACTCACGTGTCTGTGAAAATGTACGTTAAAAGTAACGTTTTATGGAAAAATCTCTGGCATGTGGACTAAATATCTTTGATAAACCTTTCTGCACTTTCAACTAGTTGTCACACATTTTGCTTGAGAAATTGAACTACAACAGTTAAAATGCATGTGACAACTTGCCCCAACCTGAAACACTTGTGGTGAGAACACAATTCAATCTATTCTCATGATAATGTTGACTCTCGTCTTGTCTTTTATCGCACAAACATTATTCTAGATGTTTGAAAAAGAAAAAGAAAAAACACACATTTTGTGCAATTCATAAATGTTGCAATATTCATCTTGTGACAACTAGCCCCGGTCTTCATTCTTCATTCTATACACAGTGGTTTTGTGTGAAAATTGAGTGTCACAGTCACTTTTGTTCTTTGTGCACAATCATTGTAATCTAAAATCTATTGTACTAATCTCTCTATCTAAACAGAAAATTGCTACTTTACTGAAAGAGGTCATGCTAATAGTGTATAATAAAAATAAAACATTTTTCAAGTAAAGAAAATAGGGGGAAACATGCAGGGCAACACAAAGCTTTTTCTTATCAATCTCATTATTAATTACATTTCGATCATTTAAACAATGACAAGCTTACGTGACTTTTGAAATATTACTTTTTTGAAAAAATATCTTTTTGGTATATATTATCAATCTGATTTGTGTAATTCGATCAAATAGAGCGGGATGTTTTAGAGAGATTTATCAAACCCACAGATATTACTTACTGATGTTTGTGCAGCTGATTTCCCTCCAAAATGATGTCACTTCCTGTAGGGAAGCGCCTGGAAAACATGACAAACATCCAGTCAAACCTAAGTAGATAATTGGTTTAAAATTCTATTCCCTCCATGTACATTGAGATATTATGATAAATATTATGATAAAATATCCCATCATAGCAGATGCTGCAGATACAAGTATTATACATTTGAAGTCCATACAGTTTTTAATTGCACTCGCTGGGACTTCATTAAACGACGGCACTGTACAGTTTCTTCCTACACAAATCGTGACCAGATATTTGACTCTGTTCCATTGCACACTAATGAAGAGAAACTTCCCCTGTTTATTTATAGTCTGTGTTTCTATCTTTAATGTTTTATAAGCACCTTATCAAAGAGCCCAGCGAACTCATACGGACACCAGCAGGTGCACTCTGGGTAATGCGGGGGTAATTGGCTTTACACTAAACTCCCGCTTATCCCTCCCGCTGTTCTCGGAGTGTGTGTGTGTTTGACTCGCAGAGCGCCCTCCTCTCTCACACACACGGTGATGTGGTGACCGAGCGACGGCTTTTCTTTCAGACACCTTCTGTAGATCATGTCTGAACCACAAACGTGACCAGACACAGACAGACAGACAGACAGACAGACAGACAGATAGATAGATATATAGATAGATAGATAGACACAGATAGATAGATAGTCTATCTGTCTAGATCCACTTCCTCACCGAGTGCAGCAAGTATAAAAATATCAGAGACGCTTATTTCACACAAATAGCACAGATTGTACCTCAATTCCAACAAGCGAGCCCCATAAACAAACTGTCTTATATTTTGGGAGAAAAAGAAGAGTGTGTTCACCTGGCAGCGCAGTACGTGTCCTCCTGCCATCATATGAGGGAGAAGGGATGAACCCTCTTTTCCATTAAACTGCTCTCTGTACTTATTGTATATATCTTTTTTTTTTAATCTATTGTGGTATGTTTATGCATAATATGGAAATGTTTTTTTATTGTTGTTGTTTATTTTTTTATTTATTTTTCACTTTTATTTATCTACATGTTTATATATTACTATTGCTTTGGCAATATTGTGCTATTTTACAGTCATGCCAATAAAGCTCAATTGAATTGAAAATTGAATTGAATTGATAGATAGACACATAGACAGACAGATAGATAGACAGACAGACAGACAGACAGACAGACAGATAGACAGATAGATAGACAGACAGACAGACAGACAGACAGATAGATAGACAGACAGACAGATAGATAGATAGATAGATAGATAGATAGATAGATAGATAGATAGATAGATAGATAGATAGATAGATAGATAGATAGATAGACAGACAGAAAGAAAGATAGATAGACAGAAAGATAGACAGATACATAGATAGATAGATAGATAGATAGATAGATAGATAGATAGATAGATAGATAGACAGACAGACAGACAGACAGACAGACAGACAGACAGATAGATAGATAGATAGATAGATAGATAGATAGATAGATAGATAGATAGATAGATAGATAGATAGATAGATAGATAGATAGATAGAAAGAAAGAAAGATAGATAGACAGAAAGATAGACAGATACATAGATAGATAGACAGACAGACAGACAGACAGACAGACAGATAGATAGACAGACAGACAGACAGATAGACATACAGACAGATAGACAGACAGATAGACATACAGACAGATAGACAGACAGACAGACAGATAGATAGATAGATAGATAGATAGATAGATAGATAGATAGATAGATAGATAGATAGATAGATAGACAGACAGACAGACAGATAGATAGACAGACAGATAGACAGACAGACAGACAGACAGACAGACAGACAGATAGATAGACAGACAGAAAGAAAAATAGATAGACAGAAAGATAGACAGATACATAGATAGATAGACAGACAGACAGACAGATAGACATACAGACAGATAGACAGACAGATAGACAGATAGACATACAGACAGATAGACAGGCAGACAGATAGATAGATAGATAGATAGATAGATAGATGCCACAACCTGAGGGGCAGTGAGTGAGTGATCGACACACACACACACACACACACACACACACAAATATATCCAAATATTGTGTTAAATGTTTATGTGCATATATATATATATATATATTATTTGTATATTTTGTATATGCTTTGGCAACATTGTTTGAAAAACTTTCATGCCAATAAAGCCCCTTTGAATTGAATTGTATTGAATTGATCGAGAGAGAGAGAGAGAGAGGTAGAGTCAGACTGACTCTCTCTCCTGCACAGGATCAGTGTGTGATTAGTGGATTATCAGCTTCTCCTCAGGCTTCAGTCACTCAGACACTCAGAGACTCTCGACATCATGAGTTTCAGCGCTGAGGAGCGAGGCCGAGAAAACACTCCGGACTACAGACTCTACTTCAGTAAGTGTCTCACACACTCCGTCACTGACACAGACTCTAAGTGTCTCACACACTCCGTCACTGACACAGACTCTAAGTGTCTCACACACTCCGTCACTGACCGCACTGATGTAGGTTTAATCTGACCCCACGGAGACGTGATCCATCGCTGTTATGCAGCTCATCTTTATGCCATAATCATATAAGTCAAGTAGATCCAGTGTTTGAAGATGTAAGCCATCATTTCTCCGATTGAGTGGATATTCGTGATCTTTCTGGAGTCAAAGTACAACAAAAAAGGGTATTTCTTGTACAAATTGATTTAATTAATATTCAGTAAGGGTTAGGTTAGGGTTAGGGTTAGGGTTAGGGTTAGGGTTAGGGTTAGTTAGTCAGTTTTCATTATGTACAACATAACTCTCCACTCCATTAGTTCCTTACTTAACTTTGAGCTCATGAAACTGTCAGTCCATCACTGAGAAAAGCTATTTTACACAAAGAACTCATCAAATTAATAAAGCTGAAGTGATGTAAAGCATATTCACTTTCTAAACGTTAGTTGAAAAGACTCTGCATGACGGTAATGACTCGCGCAGCATTACATTTATATTTTTATTTCTTCATTTAGCTGACGCTTTTATCCAAAGCGACTTACAATCGCTATATATGTCAGAGGTCGCACGCCTCTGGAGCAACTAGGGGTTACGTGTCTCGCTCAGGGACACATTGGATTCGAACCTGGGTCTCTCACACCAAAGGTGTCTTATCCACTGCGCCATCACCACCCCTGCAGCGCTAACCGTCTGTAGACAGTACACACAGATATAATTAGCCATCTCCATACATCAGGACAGCACAGTCACACACACACACACACACACACACAGGGCCGTAGCCAGCTATGAGGTCATTTTTTCTGCTCGACAGCGCGTTGTGAATGAGGGCGCGAGTGCAGTCTCCGTGTTGCCAGATCCATCCACCTAATGGACCGGTGCAGTAATATCCTGGACCTGTTTTTCTGATTTAATGTGACACTTTATGAAGTTATTAAAGTGGAAAGTTGAATGTTTAGGGTTAGTGATATATTCATCTTATTTCCAAAACACAAGCTTTGAACTAATTTCGTATTATTATTATTATTATTATTATAATTATTTTTTTTTGCCTGTTTTAGTAGCAATATCTGGCAACATTACTGTCGGTGTTAAAAAAAAAAAAAAAGCTACCACATTCGGTAAGACAAACGCATTGATCATCGTGATTATCTGTAAGAAACGTAGGCTATAACACTATCAGAAACAATAGCATAGCACAGATCTGTATGTTACAGAATGAAATTTGCCAAATAACCTTATTGGCCAGCCGGAAGAGGCTCATGCTGTTTCACAAAGTCTTCATAAATAGGTTTGTTTATGTGGTATTGTGTTATTTTAGTGTTTCACTACAATAATTAAAGCAGTGTTTCTCAACTAGCAATCTATTCAGCCAGTATATTTATGTTTGATCTATGTGAATTACAGAAATATAAGACTTTGATAGACCTACTTTTATTCTATAATTCTTTGCTCAAAACTCTCCAGAAAGTGCCATTTAATGGTTTATTTAAAAAAAAATAAAAAAAAATAAAAAAAACCCCGGACCCCCCCTTGAGAGACTACCCCACACATAATTTTAAAAAAAAAATTACAATTAACCCGTATATGAAGAGTTCAGATGCAAAAGCCTCTAAGTGCCATTTGAAATTTTCTTCTAGAATGATGATTTTTATCAAGCTTGTATATTTAAGTTCAGTAATTTCACTTAAATGGCAATGATAATTACCTATTAATTGTTATTTAAGTGAAATTACTGAACTTAAATATACAAGTTTGATTAAAATCATCATTAAAGAAGAAAATTTCAAATGGCATTTAGAGGATTTGCATCTGAACTCTTCATATATATATAGCAAATTTCCCTTAAAAAAGGGACGCTTCATGTCCATGCATGTGGGGAAATGTGGGTCCTTAGCCTAACAATTATTATAGCACAATTCTTTACACAACACCCCGGACCTCACTAATTTCCAGACCCTGGTTACGGCCTTGCACACACACTCAGCATCTACAGTAACTACTGCTGCTATGTGACCAATCAGCCAGTTTAAAAACACGAAATCAGCTTTCTGTTGAATCCATCAGTGAATAATGAATTCTGTCCTGGGTTCAAACATCACAACAAACACTCACACACTCACACACACACTCCTGTTCTCACCGTCACACGTCAGAGAGTGATGAACATCTCCGTAATCTCAGTATTTCAGGAACAGCTCTTTTATCTCTCCTCACAGAAAACGCGGAGGGGAAACACATCTCTCCATTCCACGACATTCCCATCTACGCTGATGAAGCCGAGGTATGAGGATTACGAGTGTGATCTCGGTTCATATCAACATTACTGTGGAATGAGGAGAGAAACAGATCGACTGTAGGTGTGTGAGAATGTGTGTGTGTGTGTGTGTGTGCAGGAGACAGTCAGTGTGTGTGCGTGTGTGTGAGAATGTGTGTGTACACTGAAACAAGAAGCAAAAGAATATTTTGCTTAAATACATTTTCTGATTGTATTTGATTGTAAAACATGTGAGATTCGAGTCGAGATCATGTTCACACGGTTCTCTCCTCCAGAACATCTTCCACGCTGTTGTCGAGGTTCCTAGATGGACAAATGCAAAAATGGAGGTCAGAAATATTCCTCAATATTCTTTTCACGCTCGTATTACATCTCATTTATTTCGCACGCACTAGAATTCGTTAAAGGAAATCATTTCTAGAACACATAAACCATTACATCGTGTTCAAGCTCACGGACGACACACACTCCTCATGTTTGATCATCTGAACTGTAAGGATTCCAAGAACTCTGATGACAGGGACGTGAACTCATGGCAGGACCGCACGGATTAAAAGAGTTCAGTCCACATATCTTAGACTCTCTCTCTCTCTCTCTCTCTCAGACTCATATCAATTATGTGATCCGTCCCGAGAGACATTTTCTGATGCTTTACACTGACTTTGCATCTGCACTCGTAGATAAAAGGTTCAATGTGTTTCTATATGTTTCAAGCCAACTTTGGGTCAAATATGGACAAAACCCATCCATTGGGTTGATTTTTTTAATAAAAATGTTAACCCAATGTTTGGTTTTGTCCTTGTTTGACCCAAAGTTACGGAAGCCCTGAACCGCAACATAAAAAAAAAATCTAGTATCTTTAATTTTGAGATTAAACTCGAAACGTTTCGAAATTAAAGTCGTAACATTTCGAGATTAAAGTTGGAAAATTTCAAGATTAAAGTCAAAACATTTCGAGATTAAAGTTGGAAAATTTCAAGATTAAAGTCAAAACATTTCGAGATTAAAGGCGGAAAATTTCTAGATTAAAGTCATAACATTTCAAAATTAAAGTCGTAACATTTCGAGATTAAAGTCGAAATATTTCGAGATTAAAGTCGGAAAATTTCGAGATTTAAGTCGGAAAATTTCAAGATTAAAGTCGAAACATTTCGAGATTAAAGTCGTAACATTTCGAAATTAAAGTCGTAACATTTCAAGATTAAAGTCGAAACATTTCGAGATTAAAGTCGAAACATTTCGAGATTAAAGTCGGAAAATTTCGAGATTTAAGTCGGAAAATTTCAAGATTAAAGTCGAAACATTTCGAGATTAAAGTCGTAACATTTCGAAATTAAAGTCGTAACATTTCAAGATTAAAGTCGAAACATTTCGAGATTAAAGTCGTAACATTTCAAAATTAAAGTCGTAACATTTCGAGATTAAAGTCGAAACATTTCGAGATTAAAGTCGGAAAATTTCGAGATTTAAGTCGGAAAATTTCAAGATTAAAGTCGAAACATTTCAAGATTAAAGTCGAAACATTTCCAGATTAAAGTCGAAACATTTCCAGATTAAAGTCGGAAAATTTCAAGATTAAAGTCGTAACATTTCAAGATTAAAGTCAAAACATTTCGAGATTAAAGTCGAAAAATTTCGAGATTAAAGTCGAAAAATTTCAAGATTAAAGTCGTAACATTTCAAAATTAAAGTCGTAACATTTCGAGATTAAAGTCGAAACATTTTGAGATTAAAGTCGGAAAATTTCGAGATTAAAGTCGAAACATTTCCAGATTAAAGTCGGAAAATTTCAAGATTAAAGTCGTAACATTTCAAAATTAAAGTCGTAACATTTCGAGATTAAAGTCGAAACATTTCCAGATTAAAGTCGAAACATTTCGAGATTAAAGTCGGAAAATTTCGAGATTAAAGTCGGAAAATTTCGAGATTAAAGTCGGAAAATTTCGAGATTAAAGTCGAAAAATTTCAAGATTAAAGTCGTAACATTTCAAGATTAAAGTCAAAACATTTCGAGATTAAAGGCGGAAAATTTCGAGATTAAAGTCGTAACATTTCAAAATTAAAGTCGTAACATTTCGAGATTAAAGTCGAAAAATTTCAAGATTAAAGTCGTAACATTTCAAGATTAAAGTCGAAACATTTCGAGATTAAAGTCGAAACATTTCGAGATTAAAGTCGAAACATTTCGAGATTAAAGTCGCAAAATTTCGAGATTAAAGTCGGAAAATTTCGAGATTAAAGTCGGAAAATTTCGAGATTAAAGTTGTAAAATTTCGAGATTAAAGTGGAAACATTTCGAGATTAAAGTCGAAAAATTTAGAGATTAAAGTTGTAACATTTCGAGATTAAAGTCGGAAAATTTTGAGATCAAAGTCGAAACATTTCGAGATCTAAGTCGTAACATTTCGAGATTAAAGTCGTAACATTTCGAGATTAAAGTCGTAACATTTCGAGATTAAAGTCGAAACATTTCGAGATTTAAATCGAAACATTTCGAGATTAAAGTCGGAAAATTTTGAGATTTAAGTCGATACATTTCGAGATTAAAGTCGAAATTTAGACTTTAATCTCACAATGCAATTTTTTTTTTTTTTCTACGTTGCGGTTCAGGGCTTCCGTACAAAGTTGGGTTGAAACAAAGACAGTTAATTCTGAAATATTGCTCTCGTTTCTCCAGATCGCCACTAAAGATGCCCTCAATCCCCTGAAGCAGGACCTGAAGAAAGGGAAACTGCGCTACGTTAGCAACGTGTTTCCTCATAAGGGCTACATCTGGAACTATGGAGCGATCCCTCAGGTTAGCGTTCACGTCTCTGCCGTCCTCAGGCTTTTCCAGACGCCTAAAGTGAAGCATGCGGAATATAAAGTGTGGAAAACACCAGGGAAAAGAGAGGTTCATGCATGAACAAGTTTAGAGAGAGAGATTTCATGCACATTTAGATGGCAGCCCAAGCAAGCAGAAACATTTGTCCCGAGGAAACGCTGAAGGAGTGTTATCAGCGACAGCAGAACTCACCTCACACACATCAGTGTGTGTGTGCTCGTGTGACTGACATGCTGAATGTTTATTTCTCATCTTTCCCAGACGTGGGAGGATCCCGGGCACCGGGACGGAGACACAGGCTGCTGTGGCGATAACGATCCCATCGACATCTGTGACATCGGGAATAAAGTAAAGACCTGAGTCAGGGAGTCTTTCAAAACTTGGAACTGATTTCCTGTCCTCATATCCCCATATGTAAATTATATACCTCAGAATACTAAATTAAAAAAATAATTATAATGGTAAATAACACACTAACCGATATTTAAACTTACACACTTAATTACACACTTATTTATATATATATATATATATATATATATATATATATATTACTAAATTAAATTTAATCTGCATCAGATACTAAATTAAAAAAATAATTATAACGGTAAATAACACACTTATTTAAATATTATATTTATTTAAATATTATATATATTTAATTACAAATTGTAAATAAATCAACATCAGATATATATATATATATATATATATACAATAAAATAATAAAAATGTAATTAAATCAGCATCAGATCCTTAATTAGAAAATAATTAAAATGGTAAATAATACACTATTTAAATTATACATATATATATATATACACAGTATATATATCATCATATATATCAAATATTATTAAATAATATAGGCTATTCATATATATAATATATATAAATATAAAATAATATAAATACTATTTATTAAAAATGATTATATATATATATATATAATACAAAATGTACTTTAATTAAATCAACATCAGATACTAAATTAAATTATAATAATAGAAAATAACACTTACATTTTTTATACCTATATATAAAATATTATATTATAAAATGTTTATTATATACTGTATATATAAAATTTAAAAATGAAATTAAATCTACATCAGATCCTAAATTAAATAATTAGAATAATAGTAAGATAATAACACACTAGAATAATAACACACTTTCAATCTGATCAATTATGAAAGTTAATATATTAATAAAATAAAATAGTTAATAAAATTAAATCAACATCAGATACCAAATAAATTAAAGCACAAGTATTGGAAATTCGATTTAATAAACTTAACATCTTAAAAGTCATGTACATTTCTATAGTTGTGAATGTTCTGCTTTGCTCTCTGAAGTGTTTTATCAACTTTATTATTTGTCATTTGGGGATCCCTCTCCATCAAAGCGATTGGCGATAAGTACCTCAGCTCGCTGGTGTTTGCGTGCAGGTTTGCTCTCGAGGGGAGATCATCCGTGTGAAGGTGTTGGGGACTCTGGCGCTCATAGACGAAGGAGAAACCGACTGGAAAGTCATCGTTATAAATGTGGAGGACCCAGAGGCTGAAGACTTCAACGGTTCGAGACCTTTCCCTTGTGCATCTGTAGTTATTAGTGTGATGATGTCCAATCTCAGCGAGTCCTTCGTTCACAGACATCGACGACGTGCGCAGACTCAAGCCTGGATTCCTGCAGGCCACACTTGATTGGTTCAGGATGTATAAAGTGCCTGATGGGAAGCCGGAAAACCAATTTGCCTTCAATGGTGAATTCAAGAACAGGGTAAGATGACATTTGATTAATGACTTCTCCCCGATGGCTAATAATAATCAAGACCCTTTTCTCTCCATGCCATCAAGCCAAGAGAATTCAAGCATGTCATTTACATTTTTCTCACACAGAACATCTTAAAACTGGCAGACACACAGAACAGAGGACATTTTTATTTTTATGTTTAGTTTTAGAATATTTTCAATTAGCAAATATACTATATCTTTAGTTTTAGTAAATATATAAAATCATATTTGCTTTGAAATACTTTAAAAATGTGTAAACATATACTATGTATTTTCGTAAATGTTTATTTGTTAATAAATATACTTAGTTGTATTTTTAAATGCTTTAAAAATTAGCAAATATATTACCTATACTTTGTAATATTTTAAAATATTTAATTTGAGTAAATATACTATTTTTCAAAATATTTTATCTACTAGCTATATATTTTCTATATTATTTTCAGTAAATATACTGAATAAATATTTGTTTTTAAATGCATTAAAATTAGCAAATATACTATATTTTTTAAATATATTTAGTAAATTATACAATTTTAAAATATTTTATAATTAGCAAATATACTAGCCTATATATTTTCTCTGTTTTAATTTTTTTTATTTTAAGTAAATGCACTAAATCTTTTATTTTAAAATAAACTTTTAAAATGTGCAAATATACTATATCTTTAGTTTTAGTAAATATATACAATCATATTTGCTTTGAAATGCTTTAAAAATGTGTAAATATACTATGTATTTTCTTAAACGTTTATTTTGTTAATAAAAATACTAAATTGTATTTTTGAAATCCTTTAAAAATTAGCAAATATATTACCCATATTTTGTAATATTTTTAAATATTTAACTTTAGTAAATATACTATTTTAAAAAATGATTTTATCTACTAGCTATATATTTTCTATTAAGTAAATATACTGAATACATTTTTGTTTTTAAATGCATTAAAATTAGCAAATATACTATATATTTTTTTTAATATTTAGTAAATATACTATTTTTTAATTTGTAAAATAAATTTTATAATTAGCAAATATACTAGCCTAAATAAATACACTAAATAATTTATTTTAAAATAAACTTTTAAAATTTGAAAATACATATGCTCTTAAATTTTTAAAAATGTTCATCTTTAGTACAGTGTTTCCCAACCCTGTTCCTGGCGGCACACCAACACTACGTGTTTTCTTTGTCTCCCTAATCAAACACACCCGATTCAACCCATCAGCTCATTAACCCACCTGATTATGAGCTGATGGGTTGAGTCAGGTGTGCTTGATTAGGGAGACAAAGAAAACACGCAGTGTTGGTGTGCCGCCAGGAACAGGGTTGGGAAACACTGCTTTAGTAAATGCACTAAAAATATATATTTTTAAATGCTTTATCTGCATTATAAGTTTTCAGTGTTTTTTATGCAAAAAAATTTAGCAAATATATATATAAATAAATATATATATATTATGTTTTTTCTCATTTATGGTCTGCAGGATTTTGCCATTAAAACAATTAAGGACACTCATCACTTCTGGAAAGCTCTAATCTCCAAGAAAACAGACGCTGGGGAGCTCAACTGGTCAGTCTATAATTTAGCATTAGCTCAAACTATAATCCACAGAGAACTGCTCAGATGAGTCAATATCTGTGATGTTGCACTAAAGACGTACATCATATCACCCAATGAGTAGTTCACTTTAAAAAAAACTTTAGCTGATAATTTACTCACCCCCATGTCATCCAAGATGTCCATGTCTTTCTTTCTTCAGTCGAAAAGAAATGAAGGTTTTTGATGAAAACATTCCAGGATTTTCTCCTTTTAATGGACTTCAATGGGGTCCAAACGGCTCAAGGTCCCAATGAGTTTCAGTGCAGCTTCAAAGGACTTTAAACGACACCAGACGATGAATAAGGGTTTTATCTAGCGAAATGAGCGCTCATTTAAAAAATAAATAAAAAACTAAGTTTTATAAGTACAAATGCTCGCCTTTCTCTGTTCCTTGCTCGTTCAACGAACGAAATGAAAAAAATGACTCGATAAAAGATTCGTTCATATTGATGAGCGAGTTCGAACAGGAGAGTCAAACAGAACAGAGCAAGACAAGCATTTGTGCTTATAAAACTTAAACTTTGTTATTTATTTTTTACATGAGCGCTTGTTTCGCTAGATAAGCCCCTTATTCATCGTCTGGTGTCGTTTGAAGCTGCACTGAAACTCTCATTTGGACCTTGAACCGTTTGGACTCCATTGAAGTCCATTATAAGGAGAAAATCTTGGAATGTTCTCATCAAAAACCTTCATTTCTTTTCGACTGAAGAAAGAAAGACATGGACATCTTGGATGACATCGGGGTGAGTAAATTATCAGCAAAAGTTTTTTTAAGTGAACTAATTTGACCTAATTCAACTAAATTGTGTAGCTCCAACTAAACTGATCTAATTTGAATGAAATGCATACAATTTTCACTTTAATCAAGTAATAAATTAGTGTAGATTCAATAAAGAAAGACAATGATAATTTAAAATGATTGTTATTTTCGCAACTGTTCACTGAATCCTCCTTTAGAAAGCTGTATGTTAAAGAGTGTCGTGTGCTGTCTACATACATGAGGGGCATTTTAGGTCAAAATGTGAATTCATTCAGGTGGTGCATACTTTACTGAAGTGTATATTAAAAGGAGAGGAGATATAAGGCGGCAGTTTTATGGCTTCTCCTTTTAATATGCAATTCACTAAAGTATGCACCACTTGAATGAAATGCTTTTGCGCTTCACACCCTGTGTTCAATGTGAAGCATTCGTTCTTTCTAAGCAAACATTCGAGATAAGCATGCAGGCATTAGACAGCAAGGCGGCCGTGGTCGAACGCTGAGATTGAGAGGCGTGTTGTCCGGCTTTCTGAAGATCAGAGATGAGATTTCTACAGCTGATGGTCTGGCTGTGTTTAGCTCACATCACCTTCAGTGACTCTAGACAGAATAAAAATTTGCTTTGATCATATTTCAATGTTTCAAATGCATGTGTCTCGCAGTATGAACACCTGTGTCTCCGACAGTCCCTTCTGCGTCTCCGGCGCCGAGGCCAAAGCCATCGTCGATTCAGTGAGTGTTTTCTATCAGCTCTTCTGTCACACACACACACACACAGAATTAAAATAGCCTAGGGTCTTTTTGGATTTAACAATCATGCAATTGCCAAATTATATAAAAATCACTTGAGAGTGAGGGTGAGAGTTTAATAGTCTTGTCAATTGTGTGATTAAAGTTTCACCCAAAAATTAAATGTCATTAACTCGCTATCGTGTTGATTTGGCATAAAGAGAAAAAATCATCATCAGACACGCGTAAAAGTATAGAACATGCTTCTCACTCGATATATTCCTGAAGTCATAAGATCATTTTGTATGAATTCACTGGGGGGAAAAAGTTAACTAAATTAACTGGTTCTATTCAAGTCAAAAATATGATTTAATGTTTCTAAAATCAACCTAATTGAAGGAGTAGTTCACTTTAAAAAAAAAAAAAAAAAACACTTTTGCTGATAATTTTACTCACCCCGATGTTATCCAAGATGTCCACGTCTTTCTTTCTTCAGTCAAAAAGAAATGAAGGTTTTTGATGAAAACATTCCAGGATTTTCTCCATGCAATGGACTTCAATGGGGACCAAACGGTTCAAGGTCCAAAAGAGAGTTTCAGTGCAGCTTCAAAGGGCTTTAAACGACACCAGACAGTGAATAAGGGGCTTATCTAGGACCCTTAGAGTCATGACTCGAAAAAAGATTTGTTCATTTTGATGAACAAGTTCGAACAGGAGAGTCACGAACGCGCATCACAGAATAGAGCAAGGCGAGCATTTGTGCTTATAAAACTTAAACTTTTTGATTTATTTATTAAATGAGCGATCGTTTCGCTTGATAAGACCCTTATTCATCGTCCTTTGAAGCTGCAGAAAAAAGTTTTAAATGCTTCTATCTTCTAAATGCGAATTTTGTCATTGTTTTGGAGCACTAGCTTAGATAACAGTACGACTAACAAAACTTGGGTTTTCATGGGGACATTTCATCTGAGTAAAATAAAGTCTGTAAGTTGACGATAGGCTACTTAAATTAGCATACTCGCACCCCAAATGTTCTTAGTTACTTATTATAAACATTTTTTAAGCTTTTTAAAAAAAATCGTGTTTTCGATATGGTTGTGTATATGTGTAATGTCAAAGTATCGACAAGTTAACATAACACAGACTTTGTTTTAGTTACTCATAAATTGAAAATCCCGAGGGAAGCAACAGTGGCGGGTTTCGACGTCATCATCATCACGATCGTCTTTTGTGTTGTTGAATTATTCCTGTATGAATTTATGAATCTGCCTTGTGTTCTCAGGCTCCTCCTTACGGTGAGCCAGAGCCGGTGCCCAGCTCAGGTGAGTGATCCGTCCTTCAGTCTGATCCACGACCGAAAACTAGGGGTTTGAGCACTGCCTTCTGATCTACAGATGATAATAACAGTAAAATAGGTCATTATGTATAGAACAATTGACAACGGGCCGTTGAATTATTAGAAATTAATGCACATCCGAGGTGGTAATGCGGACGCGACGCATTTTACTGCTAGTACTCAACCCTCATTGACTAAAGCCTCCGTTACTCCGTAACATTAGCCTACTGACTGTAATGTAGTTATGAATTAAGTTATTCGAGAGGGAGATTAACAGCGTGTGTTAATTACCTCAGCCTTGCCTGTGCGTCTTTACGTAACGTCTTTACGTAACGCTACTGTGTGTTTGAGCGGGAGAAAGAAAGTATGTTTTCTGTACATAATAAAAAGTAATTTTGTGGCACAAAACATGAAGATAATGTGTCTTTTTTTATCCTATTGTTTATTATATTTATTTGCTTGTTCACTATCATTGTGGGTTTTGGCTTTTTTGTTGTTGTCAGCTGTAAGGACCTTTGAAATAACTGAAATCATGTGGCGAAGTGATATGGAACCGTAATGCGGTCAAGACCTGCTGGAACTACTTTAGCCGTGAGCCGTGCGTTTCCTTAGAACGCTCGTCAACCAATCAGATTCAAGCATTCACGACTGTGACGCTAATAGAGTTGTAGATCAGTTTCTTATAAAGTTTGTCATATCACAAAAATTAATTTATCTGGATTTTTTTTTCACAATCATTCCACACACTCTTAGAATAAAAAGTTTTATAAGGATTCTGTCAGACGCTTCATATGAATAAATAATACAATATTTTCTCTCTCTCTTTCTAGCTGATAAATGGTTCTATTACTAAACGGATATAGAAGATCATCAGCGGACTGTGACGGGAACAGGGACGAATCATCAATGTTTCTGCTATATATTGTATTAGTTTCTGATTGATTTATGAAGTTGTAGAGCTCTGAGAATGTTAGACAGTCTGTGCATAATAATACTGTACATGTGGACCTTTTAATGCAAACTGGGAATCAGAATAAAATGATGTGACTTTACAAATGTTCTCACAATACAAGAAACTTTTAATGAAATAGGATATATTTTTCTCCTCATCTATGGTAATTTGTATGTTAAAGGAACATCTAATTGTTGCATTTTAGATTAATTTGTAACTTGTTTTAATCACTAGTCTAGTGATAGACTATAATTACACCTGAATGAGGTTCAACGGGTGTTTCTTTCTAACATGATGATGTTATTTTTGACTTTCTGCTCCATCACCATGGCAACCCTCTTCAAATGTAGCGGAATCTGTTGTGTTTGAAATGTAAATCATGTGATTTTAGGCTTATTACGTTCACACAAAATCAAATTAAAACTAAAAAGGTTAAGGCAGAGATGAGAGTTTTATTACAGGACACCCAAATTATGTTTTAACATGATATGTAGACCAAATATGTTGAAGATTTCGAGTAAAAATGCCCTTAATTGAATATTCGGCCATACATAAGTTTTAAATGAATACGTTGAAGCGGAGTCAGTAACCAAGTGTTGTGATCTATGTGTAAACAGTGACATCTAGTGGCCAGTTATCGCAAGCGCAACAGACCTCACTGAGAGAGTTTAGCTATTAAACTCATTATTAACGTGTGATTAAATCCACATTAAAGCGTTCGTTTTAAAGAACAGCACTGACGGTTCATGAACGGGCAACCAGGGCAACGGACAGTTGGCAGCAGCCAATCAGAGACGAGCAACTCTATTGCCATGGAGACAGACACCACAAAGATGGATGCCGACACTTTTGCAGCTGTTACTGTTGTCTTGGATTCTACAACTTATTATTTTACTTAAGTATCACTTATAAGACAAAACGTAAAAAATAATTTGCCATTATTATTAAATATATTAATTAATTTTACATGCATACATTCCATCTTCTTCTTTCAAAATGCTACTAGCCTACGTAGCATGACTAATGACTCGAGTTTTTATAAATTGAGGCTAAATTATATTGTTGTTATGGAAATGTCATAAATATATACAGGGGAAACTCGAAAAAAAATAGAATATTGTGCAACAGTATTTCAGTAATTCAAATTAAAAGGTGAAACTAGCCTAATATACTTAGAAGGCTATAATATATAACGTAACTATATGCTTACACTTTGCAGAGGGCCGACATTTCTGAATTTAAAATCCTTTTTTAATTGATTTCATGTGATATTCTAATTTTCGGAGATTTTGAATTTAGGGTTTTCATAAGCTGTAAGCCAGAATCATCAAAATGATGATTCATGTCAAATCAACTTTTGCACGATATTCTAATTTTTCGAGTTTCACCTGTGTGCATATATCGCACATCACTGCAGGGCCGGCCCACTGTACATAACATGTTAGCCAAATAATTGAACTCATCTCAGCAAAAAAGAAAAGAGGACATAGGCCAGTAATTCAACTTAAAAGGTGAAACTAATATATTATATCGACTCATTACATGCAAAGTGAGTAATGACAATCTCCCGGTCTGGTGGATCAGAGGGACACAGAAAACGGGTCGAAATATTCACGGATCTTGGAAAGAAGAGTCATAATGTAGTTCACTTACACAAAGCCACCAGCAGACGGCGGCAGAGTACAGCAATACAATACTGTATAATGTATATAATTTATTGTATAACTGTATAATAATTTCAATATTTTCACATACAACACATTATTTTATTTTGTACACTATTTTTCTTTAATAGTTTAAAAACTATTAGAGTTTAAAAAAATAAAAAAGAATTGGCTCTATCCAATGAGATTGCGCATCGATGATGACGTACGTCAAGGCGGAAGTGGTGTCAGGGTGTCGTGCGCGCTCATGTGAGAGATTCTGCGGGTTACTAGAGACGCTCCATGGCACGCGCGCTTTAATATAATCACGTAATAAACCGGAGGATTCGTCAACACACTGAGGTCGAGACACGCGACCGATCAACGGTGAGAGACGATCAAAACACCCGAAGAAGAGAGAGAGAGAGAGGCGGAGGAGGCTTTATTCAGGCCCGGGATTAACTGTGTGTGTGTGTGTGTGTGTGTGTGTGACAGAGAGAGAGAGAGAGAGAGAGTGACAGTGTGTGTGTGTGTGTGTGTGAGAGAGAGAGAGAGAGAGAGTGAGTGAGTGAGTGAGTGAGTGAGTGAGTGACAGTGTGTGTGTGTGTGTGAGAGAGAGAGAGAGAGTGACAGTGTGTGTGTGTGTGTCTGCTCATGCTGTCAAGAGTGTTATATGATTAACATATTTAACACTCAGGTAAATGATCATGATGATGTCATTATACTGAATCTCTTTACTGTAGTATGATGGACACTTTGATGGGTGTGGAAAAACATGCTAATATTAATATAGTGTGTGTTTTTATGTTTGTGCCCTAAATGTCAAGAACACGATACAGTAAAGTAACAGAATAGTATTACCATGTGACAGTAAATGAATAGTATGACCGTTAGTGATGTGTCTGCCTGTTTTGTTATGCATATATTTCGATGAGTGTGTTTTTAATATTTTATTAATATTTCCCCTTTGTTTTGGTTAGGAAACATCTGCAATGTCATTTATATTTGACTGGATCTACCGAGGGTTTAGTGGAGTGCTGCAGTTTCTAGGTGAGGTCTGACTCGAGTGTATCGGTCATATATACAGTGCGAGTGTGTCATATATACGTTTAGATTATTATTATGTTCAAAAGAAGCCGCTTCTGCTCATTGGTCACATGACTATTGAACTTTGCCTGCATCTGTTTTGGTAATATTATTCAATAGAGCAATAAAGCTGATAAATGTATAATGTATACACACACACACACACACACACACACACAGGGCCTAGAACTAACTTTTTCCCACACCTACTGGTGACTTAAATATTATACATATATTATATATTTTTCACCAGCCATGAAAATGTTTTGCAAAAACAGGCTGTTATGACAAAAATATTTGATAACAGTAAAAATTCACAGTTCTCTATTCCAATTTCAATTCCACTGCTAAAACTACCAGCCTAAATAAATATTAAAATTAGTAATAAAATAAGAACAGATAATCAAATTACAAGCAAAAGCACAATATAAAAATAAATAGTTTCTCAGGTCTGACTGAAGTTTACAGGTAAAGAACTTTAATAAAGCAAATGTAAAATAACACTGTATAAATTAAACATTCTTATTAATTAATCCTTATTAAAGTTACAAAAGTTATTCAGCCAAGAGCAATACGTGATTTTTTTCTTTGTCTTTTGTTGTTTGATAATCATTAAAAACAGCAGGAATATTAGGTCACTGTCACTTTAAGAGCGAATGCACTGATACTGACACACACGAGCCGTTAAATATGAACGTGAAACAATATAAACACAAAAATCATATGCTGACTCCAGTGTGTGTGCACGTTCTGTACGATAAAGGCGCAATCTGCTTTATTGAGCCTGCTTTTATTAACGCTTTTGTTTTTTATATTTTTTATGTTTTTAACTAAAAGAACTCTAACATCCATTGTAAGCTAAGCTTGTTGTGTATATTGCCTAATTGTAAGCTTGTTCAGAAATGGTGACAAAAACAAAAAAGAAAAAAATTAAACTTAAATAAAGGAATATTTGATTTTTATGAGTCTGAATATTTGAATGTAATATTTTTGAGCATTAACCCGCTTATACCGCAGTCACTTGCCAAATAACACATTTTTAAAACATTAGTTTATATTTTAATTAGTTTTACAATCGAAATCTAAAGTTTCTACAAACAATAACTTGGTTTCCCTGGTTACGCCTGACGGTTTATTTAGCAACCGGAGATATTTATAGTCGGAGAACCCTTCAGTTTTTCTAACTTACGAGCCAGAAAGCTAACGTTTTTTTGTTTTGTTTTTTCATGTAAGTTAGGCTTGTCTAGCCATGGGCGTTACACTTTCTTTCTTTTTTTTTTTTTACCTATAATTAAAAACACAGGTAGGCGTAGTATAACAGCTAACTAGATGTTTGTTTTGATACAATAAATTGTAACCGGATACTTTGACTGCCTGTTGCTACTCACAGCTGTTGCTATGGTTACTCACAGCTGTTGCAATGGTTACTCACAGCTGTTGCTATGGTTACTCACAGCTGTTGCTATGGTTACTCACAGCTGTTGCAATGGTTACTCACAGCTGTTGCTATGGTTACTCACAGCTGTTGCTATGGTTACTCACAGCTGTTGCTATGGTTACTCACAGCTGTTGCTCTGGTTACTCACAGCTGTTGCTCTGGTTACTCACAGCTGTTGCTATGGTTACAGCTGTTGCTCTGGTTACTCACAGCTGTTGCTATGGTTACAGCTGTTACTATGGTTACTCACAGCTGTTGCTATGGTTACTCACAGCTGATGTCGCCAGCGCATTTATTTATTAACACCGAACGATTAACAGTCAGGTTCTAGGTGTCCGCGATCACTTTTTAATGGACACCCTGCAGCCAATCAGAACCGAGTATTCACTCAGATCACGGTATAAGCAAATATTAGCGGCCAACTGGCGGGCGACACCGTATCATATATTCGGCGACGCTGATTTTGCACGGGTGCCTGTGTGTATATATATATATATATCAATATATATTGTAGTGTTTGTGTTTTTTGCAGGTTTGTATAAGAAGTCTGGGAAGCTGGTTTTTCTGGGACTGGACAACGCTGGGAAAACGACTCTCCTGCACATGCTCAAAGACGACCGATTAGGACAGCACGTGCCCACGCTACACCCCAGTAAGAGGAGAACACTCACTTTAATAACTCCCATCAGCCATTGCTCTCGGCTGATGATCTGTTTGTGTCTTGTGTCAGCGTCAGAGGAGCTGACCATTGCAGGAATGACGTTCACCACGTTCGATCTGGGTGGTCATGTACAAGGTCAGAACTATAATATCCATTCATCTGATGATCCTATTCAATTTGATCAAATCGGTCATCGTTTATTCCTTTGTGCTTCTCCAAACTCACACGGCGTAACTTTGACTTTTTCCAGCACGGAGAGTGTGGAAGAACTACCTGCCCGCGGTCAACGCTGTGGTGTTCCTGGTGGACTGTGCCGATCACGAGCGGCTCGCCGAGTCCAAGGTGGAGCTGGACGTAAGTCTCATTCTCAAACCAAAACAACTTGCAACTGTGTGAAGGTTTTCTTTGCACACTTTTATCATATCAATTTCATTTCATTTTCAATGCAAACAAGCCTTGAGCGTTTCAACACACTGCTGGTTTCCTTTTTAAGTTTCGCTTTGTGCCATGCAAAGAAAACCTATCCACATTATTCCTGCTGCCCCATGATGCTTTGCATGAATTATGAGTGTAACTTCGGTTAAAGCTGACCTATTATGCCCCTTTGATGGCCTAAGACACAGATTTATATGGTTTTCACCTCTTTTGTAACCAAGTAACGCAGTAAACTCATCAGGAATAATCTGGACAGAGACAGAGCGTATAATGGGCAAATGTGGATCTAGAACTGAAGCGCTCTAGTGGCTCTCAGTGACCGTGTGTGTGTGTGTGTGTGTTCAGGCTCTGCTGTCGGACGAGACGATCTCCAGCGTGCCGGTTCTGGTGTTGGGCAATAAGATCGACCGCCCCGAGGCCGTGAGCGAGATGAGACTACGAGAGGTGTTCGCTCTGGAGGGACAGACCACTGGGAAGGTCAGTGCCACGACACTCATGGAGGATCAGCAAGACAGTTCCTCCACACATGGTATCATATTCCAGTCATGTGATTAAACTGACCAGGGCAGATGAAAGACAAAAATGTCTTTGAGTTTATGTTTTTGCGGTCGCTCTGTATATCTCTATGGCAGTTCATATAACTCATATAACTCATACACAACACAAATGAAATTTTGAAAGCTAGATTTCAGTAAACTTTTTTAACTTTTTTAAACATTTATGGCAAACAATTCATATGCACTAATGTTGATACTTGGTGCTCTGAACTTATGACACAATTCTGACTTCACATAATTGCGACTTTTTAACACACAACTGTGACTTTATATCTCACAAGTCTGACTTTATAACGTAATTCTGATTTTGTAACACAATTGCAACTTTATATCACACAATTCTGACTTTATATCACAAAATTTGGACTTTATATCTCACAATTCTGACTTTATATCTCGCAATTCTGACTTTATATCTCGCAATTCTGACTTTATATCTCGCAATTCTGACTTTATATCACAAAATTTTGACTTTATATCTCGCAATTCTGACTTTATATCACAATTCTGACTTTATATCACAAAATTTTAACTTTATATCTCACAATTCTGACTTTATATCTCACAATTCTGACTTTATATCTCGCAATTCTGACTTTATATCACAATTCTGACTTTATATCACAAAATTTTAACTTTATATCTCACAATTCTGACTTTATATCACACAATTATGACTTTATATCACACAATTATGACTTTATATCACACAATTATGACTTTATATCACACAATTCTGACTTTATATCACACAATTATGACTTTATATCACAATTCTGACTTTATATCACACAATTCTGACTTTATATCACACGATTCTGACTTTATATCACACAATTCTGACTTTATATCACACGATTCTGACTTTATATCACACAATTCTGACTTTATATCACACAATTCTGACTTTATATCACACAATTATGACTTTATATCACACAATTATGACTTTATATCACACAATTATGACTTTATATCACAAAATTTTGACTTTATATCTCGCAATTCTGACTTTATATCACAATTCTGACTTTATATCACAAAATTTTAACTTTATATCTCACAATTCTGACTTTATATCTCACAATTCTGACTTTATATCTCGCAATTCTGACTTTATATCACAATTCTGACTTTATATCACAAAATTTTAACTTTATATCTCACAATTCTGACTTTATATCACACAATTATGACTTTATATCACACAATTCTGACTTTATATCACACAATTATGACTTTATATCACACAATTCTGACTTTATATCACACAATTATGACTTTATATCACAATTCTGACTTTATATCACACAATTCTGACTTTATATCACACGATTCTGACTTTATATCACACAATTCTGACTTTATATCACACGATTCTGACTTTATATCACACAATTCTGACTTTATATCACACAATTCTGACTTTATATCACACAATTATGACTTTATATCACACAATTATGACTTTATATCACACAATTATGACTTTATATCACACAATTATGACTTTATATCACGCAATTCTGACTTTATATCACACGATTCTGACTTTATATCACACAATTCTGACTTTATATCACACAATTCTGACTTTATATCACACAATTATGACTTTATATCACACAATTATGACTTTATATCACACAATTATGACTTTATATCACGCAATTCTGACTTTATATCCCACAATTATGACTTTATATCACACAATTCTGACTTTATATCACACAATTCTGACTTTATATCTCACAATTCTGACTTTAAAACACACAATTCTGACTTTATATCACACAATTCTGACTTTATATCACACGATTCTGACTTTATATCTCACAATTCTGACTTTATATCACACAATTCTGACTTTATATCACACAATTCTGACTTTATATCTCACAATTCTGACTTTAAAACACACAATTCTGACTTTATATCACACAATTCTGACTTTATATCACACAATTCTGACTTCACACAATTCTGACTTTATATCACACAATTCTGACTTTATATCACACAATTCTGACTTTATATCACACAATTCTGACTTTATATCACACAATTCTGACTTTATATCACACAATTATGACTTTATATCACACAATTATGACTTTATATCTCACAATTCTGACTTTATATCACACAATTCTGACTTTATATCACACGATTCTGACTTTATATCTCACAATTCTGACTTTATATCTCACAATTGCGACTTTATATCACACAATTCTGACTTTATATCACACAATTCTGACTTTATATCACATATATCACACAATTCTGACTTTATATCACACAATTCTGACTTTATATCTCACAATTGCGACTTTATATCACACAATTCTGACTTTATATCTCACAATTCTGACTAACTCACAATTCTGAGATAAAAAGTCGCAATTCTCTTGTGTTATTTTCTGTTCTGGTGCGGAAACAAGCCTCCACATGTTTGTATGTAGCCTGATGTGTAGCATGTTGTGTTAGCAGGGCAGCGTGTCGCTGAAGGATCTGAACGCGCGGCCGCTGGAGGTGTTCATGTGCAGTGTGTTGAAGAAGCAGGGCTACGGGGAAGGCTTCCGATGGCTCTCGCAGTACATCGACTGACCTCAGACCCGTCTGCTCTGTGATCGTCAGCAATAAGAGATGTCTGACCTGTTTTAGTGGATATTACGCATCGGTTTTGTTGTTTTAGTCTCAATTCGGAGGGTGTTAAACGCAGAAGCACGTGCTGTTACTGTATTAAAGCCCTGCGAATGAGGATGCAAGGTGTAATCAAGCCATTGGTTTTTAGTACAATACCATGTGTGATATTTCAGTTCCTGCTGCTTTTTTTTTTTCTTATGTTTTTAAACTTTGAGTCGCTCTGTTATACCTGAGTGTTGTTGTATTATTTAGCATCCTTTCATCTATAGATGTTATAAAAATCTGATCAGTGGTTTGAGGTGTACAGTATATTGTAATATATTCTCCTGTACAGTGTTTGTGTAGATAATGTTCATATCAGATGCTGTTGGTGTTTGTTGATCATCAGATGAAGGTCTGATATGAGAACGCCTAAGGCAGAGACACATGATCATTTTTTGCAAATTTGTACATATTGTATAATGGAGTATATGTGTTTTTATTGTCCATAGCCTTGACTTGAGTGTACAGGAATCCATCCTAACAGACTGTAAACATCTATAAACTTCATATTTTGAAGAATGTTTCTGCAGTTGTCATTGATTCAATATTTTGATTTTTTTTAGTTGAAGATTGTTAGTAAATCTAGTAAACCTCTAAAACTGATCATCACACAGTAGAAAAGAAATCAGTCACTTACTCACCCTCATGTTGTCCAAACCTGTGTGATTTACTTTCTGAAACATGAGCAAGATGATTTTCAAGATGAAAATGACCAGGGCTGTTGAGCTCATGAAAGTGATGAAAGTACTTTGTAATGCCATCTACAAATTAAAATACATGAATCAATCATCCAATATATATATAAAAAACAATAATATAAACAAGTGTTCAAATATTTCCAAAAAAAATCATGCAATTAAAGCTATAATAGTACATTAAATGTAAGGATTTTAGTGTATTAATCACTTCTTTTTAGCCAATATGTGCTTGTAACTAAAAATAGACCTTCCATGACTCCCTAGGTTGTATGAAAGAGCTCTGTCTATGATGTCAATAACAATGTCTAGACGGATGATTTTAACATGAAGGACTCGGGGCGTTTTTACCGGGAAAATCAAACGGATGTGACGTTTAAGCGCGCTCTAGAGAACGCCACGACACATTAAAACAAACAAATGCGTAAAACAATGTTCAGATAATGCCGAAAGAGCCATATTCAAAACTTGTAATGTCAAACAATATAGTCTCGCAGTCAGATATAGTTTATGAATAGTTCCCACAGGCAAATTAATGTCACGTGACCTCCCAGTAGACGCCATCTTTGAGGGCAAAACTGCTGTGTTTACAAAGTTTTATCAGAGAATGTCGTTTTACAAACAAATATTTATTTATTTTTATAATCCCACATGGAAAAAACCTATATAAACATATATGTTTTAATATAGGTTTTGATATATGTTTTTAATATATGTGACATATATAAAATTGGCCGTTTTCCTATATTATATGTACATATATGCACATATATGTACATATATACGTGCATATATGTACACATATATACGCACCTATATAGGTACATGTATGCACACATATATGTACACATATAGGTGCATATATGAACATGTATGCACGCATATATGTACACATATAGGTGCATATATTTGTGCATATATGAACCTATATATGTACATGTATGCATGCATATATGTACACATATACATGCATACATGTACCTATATAAGTACATGTATGTACGCATATATGTGCACATATAGGTGCATTTATACATGCACCAACATGTTTACCTATATTAGAATAATTATTAAAATCCATAGCTACTAGGCAACATAAATAATAGTCCAAAATGTATGCATTTAGATTATTTATTTACTTAAGATCAAATAGTACAAAAACAAAAATAAGACAAAAAAACTGGATAGAAAAAAAATCTTTTTGATCTTCTCAGCTCCATGAGCTTTGAATTGATAGACGTGCCCACCTCCCCTCGGCTGGCTGACGGCCACTTCTTCAATGTAGCATCTAGAGAAGACAAAAATAATAAGACACTATAATAATAATAATAATAATAATAAGAAGAAGAAGAATATAGTACTTCATCAGGAACCCAAAGTGCTTACAGTACAGATGTGATCGGACACATATTTTTTGATAAAAGGTTGATCATTTTAAAAAATGCGTCATGTAAACATGTCAATTGGAAGATTCTGAAAAATCTGAAACGTGGCTTAAGAAAAGGAAAGTTAGGATCAAGAACTGAGCAAGCGATGAATTAGTATTATAGGTTCCAAGTAGATATAGTAACAATAATCCCTTATACAGTCTCAATTGATGCCTAATAAACATTGATACAAGTAGGCTATGGTTAAAGTGGTGAACTTATAAAATCCTAATGCGTTGAGAAGGGAAAACAAAACTTTTATACATTTACTCACCAATAATGATGCCTTTTTAATTTGGTCAAGGGCGACCAGCTGCTCCCCATCCCCTCTGGTTGGCTTCCCACCTTAAAGTAAAATTTCAAAATTATTATAAAAGGGGGTTAAAATGAAGCTTGTGAAAGCAATACTTTTTTTATATACACATCACATTTTCTTGAGGTGCAAGGAAATACAAAAATGGCAAGTAAAAAAGCGATGGTATGCCCGCACACAAACATAATTTATTCCACAGAATATTAATTGTTTTTTACGGACAGAAGAGATTAGGAGAATAATTTGTACCATTCAGGTTGTTTTTCAGCAAAGTCTCCAGATCAAATGTGCCCAGCAGCAGATTCCACACCATGGCAGTAGCAGAGGTGGCAAGGAGGGCTGCTTTCCACACTTCTGCCTGGCAAAACACCCCAGAGCCCTTTATAACTTCAATCTGAAAAATAATTTATTCATTTATTGGCATTGTTTCATATTGATTCTTATGCTTAGCTTCCCAATAGTTTATATGTTTTTATGTATGAATGCAGATTAATGATAAAGAAACAAAATAATAATATTACACAAAATAATAATATGAAACAAATTAATAATTGCCCTTAATGTTCTTAAAGGAGAGGAGGAGGAGGATAGGGTGTCGGGGTGGGGATGGGGATATTTATTAATAAATAAATAAAAATTCAAGGGGGTTACTCACCGGTTGCACTTTTCAAAAGAGGAGGAATCTAAATCCTCAACAGGACTCCTTCCAGTCTTGTTCATAGAAGAAAAATAAAAGTTATTCTCTTCAATAAATTAAAGTGCAAATAACTTAAATCAAATAATTAACACTATCAATCAGCCCAACATCATAAGTCTCTACAGCTCTGCTAAAGGAACCATTTTAAAAAGCAAAATCAGAGGAACTTACCTTTTTGAGCAATAATGGCGAGGTAACTTTTCATTTGAGGTAATTCTAGAAAGAGGTTATATAAAGAAAAAAAAAAACAATTACAATCACTTAATCAAAATAGTAATGCCCTAACGTTAATGTTTACTATTTGAAAGACATTTCCTGCAACTGTAAAGGCAAGCCCATTGATACGGCTCTTTCTTTCACCAATTTCGACCAAATTCAAACTCCACAGGTATTTTTTTTTTTTTTTTCTGGAGCCGATTGCCTTCTTGAGCCGTTGGCAGAGAAGTATCATTTATTCTCATGACGTTATGTTCTCTAGGCCATGACTTTTGTTAACCCTCTACGAATTCCTCCAGAAAGAAACAAATAAATACACGTTAATTCTGAATTGAATCTTATCAACGGCTAAGTTATTTTAGCACCCACAGTAACGTTATGTTACCTCACCAGCTAACAACATAGGAAGTGTATGGGCTGAAACAGGTGTGTTTGGCAAAAAATAAATGCTAAGTTTATACTTCTCTGCCACCGCAATTTCCACCCTGCAAATAAATATAAAATTAGGAATACTTACGATTGGTGATAAGTAGGACTTAGAGGATCTCCAATGCTGAAATCGCAATTTTTACTCCCAGCCGTTATCTTCCGGCGCGAAACTTGACTTCATCTCATCGGATACGGATAACGTCAAGCGTTAGGCGGGTGACGTCATCAACTACGGGGCGCTGTAGCGGCCAATCGGCAGTGCAGCAGCATTCGAATTTATTAACCACTGTGAATTGCTCAGATAGATGGTGGGATGATGATGATTATTTGAATGTACGTTCTATTCACTTTTTTTTTTTTTTTTTTTTTTTTTTGCTACATTTTGACTGTAATGACCTTTCAGCCAGAAAAAAAAACTGCATTCAGACAATACAGAAAACATTGCAATTTGCATTGCATTTGGTATTGGTGAATGTGTGGATGTGTATGGGAAAGTGACTTGAAATTGGAAAAAGGGCTTTTTGGTAAAATGAAAAAACAACAAACCCTTTTGTTATACATTTCCTTCTTTTCCACTAAGTCATTCTGATATGTATATAAATATTTATTTATTTATTTGAGCAATATAGTGACATATACACTCTAAAAATGCTTTGGGTCAAACATGGACAAACCCAAATGTTGGGTTAAAAATGCAATTAAAAAATGTACAGTTGAAAAAGTGAAAGTGAAAGTTGAATTTGGGTTAAAATTTGAAATTACATTTTTAACCAAACATTTGGGGTTGTCCATATTTCACCCAAATTTGGGTTCAAACAACCCAGCATTGTTTAGAGTGGATGAGCTACAAATGACCAGATCCTGCCATGAGCTACAGTATAGGATACTCTTGTATATAGCACTTATGTGTGGATATAAAGAAGCAATGCATGAGACCTATGTGGCCTGTATATGCACATATATGCACCTAAAATTGCCTATATGTGTCATATATACACACATATGCAGCATATATCTTATCATATATGTGCATATATGCACCTAAAATTGCCTATATGTGTCATATATACACACATATGCAGCATATATATTATCATATATGTGCATATATGCTGTATATATGCAGCATATATGTGCATATAAACTGCATATAGGTTTCATATATGCGCATATATCCTCATATAGTTTCTTTCCATGTGGGATGTTACGCAAATCATGAAGGGATAAAGTGAAATAGATTATAAAGAGACTATTAAAACAAGCCAGAGAGAATGCGAACATTTAACTTAATTCATAAATGGTGTGGATCCGTATGCAGTAAAGCACTGATCGAGCACGATTATGCAGCTTTGCCCCAGATACAGTATTTTCATGTGTACCGTTACCTTTATCAGGTATTGGCTAGGAGTTTTTACACATGTGAGCAATTCCGAGCCTGGAAATCACTGAAGGCGTACAATCAGATTGCCGAAGGTTGGTTTGGTCACGTTTGCTCAAGTGCAATCAATGGAAAAGTAAACTTAGTCATCATAGCGAAGTAGTAGCATGATGTTATGTTTATTAAAAAGCCATAGCCTGCACAAGTCCTATGTTCCCCTCAAAACAGTCACCGGTGCTTTCTGTAATATGCATGTGCTCATTTGTACACTGAAGAAACGGTACATGTATTCGTATTGAAACAAACCGATGCGGGCGTCATGGTTTAGTAGCCTGGCTGCGCCCTCCTACGCACTTCCGCTCAATTTCATTTTACTTCAATGAAATGAACTAGAGTCTGGTTGAACCAGGCTAATGGTTCAGTGCATGAATATAAAAATAAATAACCCGCGTGCAAATGAATTAATGTAACGCGGAACTATAAGCGGGTTCATTAGGGACATAATCTGAGATTGCAATGCTGGAGTGTGATCGAACAGTGGAAACAATGTTGTTTTGTATGTTTTTAATACCTCGTCAATTTATTCAGGACATTTTTTCAAACTGCATAGTGTTAACTCATATTAGTTTACACTCGCAATAACATTGTGCTTTTGTCAAACAAATTCTTGCGTATTTTGAGTGAGTTTCGTTCGTGTTTATCCTCGCCAAAATATAACCTCCGTCGTTGTTCTGACAAAAGCTTAGTCTTCTCACATCCAATGACGGGTATACTGTACAATCCCGATTTAACTGAACCTCCGGCACGATTTTATCATCCATTGACCCAGCAGGAGATTACCATTTTCACTTTTTATCACGAAACTTCAAATGTTTTGCCCTCAGCAATGGCGCCGGGGTCGGCAAATGCCCGTATGTTGTGACGTCATGTGGGAACTAGTCTCAAGTCAAGTGTACTTTTATGACTAAACTATCATAACAGTGAAATTTTAATTACCTCATTCGTCGACAAACATAGCAGATGCTTTCCGAACTGCTGTTTTCTCGCCGTTTGTGTGTTATTTAAAGGAGAGAGCAGCACATTCAGCTCTCAGCGCCGTTGAATCAGTGTGTTTTTCACGAGCACGAGCAGGAAGTGCTGCTGCAGTTTCACCTAACGGCCACCGGTGGCGCTAATAACAAGGGTTCCTCAATTATACAAACCTTTAGGTTATAAACATTAGTCACAGGAGGAGATAAACCTGTAAATTCTGGGTTGTCTACACTACAAAAGTTCATATGATATAACTCATGCACACCAACACAAACATTTATGGCAAATAATTCATATCATATGCTCTACTGTTGATGGTGCATTTGACGCTTGACAGACGTGTAGCTGTGAGGGTATTTTTCTGTAACATCAGCAGTTCCACTGCAAAACCCCAGGAGGCAGCAGAGATGTCCAGATCTCAGCTTATTCAGTTAGTGATTCCAACACAAAAAGCAGAAATAAGCAGCAAACACCAGTCTTCAGGATAAAGAGTGTATGTTTAAGCCTCAAGGTGTTTACCGGTTGCAGTAGCTGTGGATGTATGGGTGTTTGCATCACTTGCACTGCTATATGGTCTCTGTAAAGTATGGTGCTAGACAAAGGTCATGAGGGAATGCATGAATCAAACATGTTCAATATAAATGCATGAAATTAAAAACCTGCAATGCAATGCCATTGCTTTGGATAAAAGCATCTGCCAAATGCATGAACGTAAATACATACTCTTACTAGTCCAGCTTCATGGCATGTGTATCCTGCAAATTACTCTATGCATTAAATATCTGCTATATTGCATGGAATACAGTATCCCACAATGTGTATTGAATAATATTCATAGTATTTTTGATGCATCAACGGGCATAAATGGTCTGAATCTCACACATTCCCATGACAGAAGATCTTAGATTTGTTCCTTACGCTGAATAAAGCAGAAACACGGTCACGGCATGTGCTTTCAGTGACTTTTGAGAATGCAGTTCAACGCTGCCAGATATTGATTTTCAGATCCTTCGTCAAGCTCAGTCAATGGACGAGCACACAAGCACACAGCCGCTCATGTATCAGAGAGACGTTGCAATTATTTACAACATTTTATTTCACAGATTCAGAGGAGCCGACGTCAGCCACTATCTCAACATCAGACATCACAGGTTTACTCTTATTGCACACAGAAAGAGCCAGTAAAAGAGCTTTGTGAATATCATGCAATATGAAAAATAAAGTAATTCAAACATTCACATCATTTCTTTTTAACCGCATTCAAGTCCAAGTCTAAATAAACAGAAGCCAGTGTTAATCAAACACACACTGATGTAAAACACGCTACAGTCAAGAAACCGGAGTCAGTTCTGATTCAGAGTTTGAAACGAGTGTGAAAACGTCAATATTGCAGCTGTCAGTCATAATACATTTCCTCTTTAAAGAATTCTGAAAGTTTGTGTAGATGTTCTACATACATTCTTTTGCAATATGAAGCAAAAAAAAACTAGGGCTGTCAAATGATTAATCGTGATTTATCGCATCCAAAATAAAAGATTGCTTTTACATAATATATGTGGGTGCACTGTGTATAATTATTTCGTATAAATACACACACATGCTTGTATATATTTAAGAAATATGTTCATGTCTATTCTGTATATAGATTTATATATAATTTGTATTATATATAATTATAAATATTTGATATATAAATATTTTTTTCTTAAATATATACATGCATGTGTGTATTTTTTTATATATATAATATAATATATATTTATATATAAAATAATTATACACAGTGCACCCACATATATTATGTAAAAACAATCTTTTATTTTGGATGCGATTAATCGTTTGACAGCCCTAAAAAAACACTTTATTCATGTACAAACCTTTAACAATCCTTGTGTATTTATGAATTAGGTTTTGCATTGCGTGCATTTGCATTTGGCAAATTATATTTTGTAAATATGAATTAGGTTATGAGTTCACATTTTCAGAGAATTCGTTTCGAGACGTTAATCTGATGACATTGTGTTTGAAACGTCCGCAACTCACCGTTAACACACAGCTCTCTGTCTGAGCCTTAATTTAGAGAATAATGTGTTATAAATGCACACACACACACACACGGGATGCCCGTCACACGTCTTCATAACAGGCTACACACACAGATGAACTTCAGAACACAGTGTTGAACTTGATCTCCAGAGGTTTAACAAGTTCTTTTGCATAAATCACCTCAAATAAACAATAGTACCCTGTTGATGATGATGATGATGATGTGTCTGTGGACGTCAACACACAACGTTCAAGTGCAAGTTTAAATCTTGCATGTGAATGAGGATGTCAGCGTTAAAGTGGTCATATTCTGCTTTTTACATGTCTCGAGTGTGTAATGTTGATGTTCGATCATGAAAAATGTTCTCCTCTATATCAGTGTCAGTGTTTCTGAACTCCTGAAACGCCTCCATTGTAGTCTCCAGTGTATTCCTCATTATAATAATTTATGCGCAGAATAAAGGGGCGTGGCCTGGTTGAGTTAGTCAGTAGTGTGTTAAACTGGCGATTACGGGAAGGGGCGGGACTTTCCCCAAACACACTCGACCAATCACAACACACCGCTCCAGGTGGCCAATCAGAGCACAGTGTGCTTTCAGAAGGCGGGGCTTGATAGAAACAGGAAGTAAAGCGAGCGTTACTGACAGACTGGGACGAGAGGAGCCGCAACAATGGAGAATCAGAGGAGAATAATCAACATTCAAGCAGGAAAACCTGTTCTAGACTCTGTAAAAGTGCATCATATGGCCTCTTCACACACTGACACACACATGACATTAGAATACAAACTCAGATGTCGGTTGAATGTTTCAGGAGGTGGTTTGTCGGTGCGTCGGACGCCACATGTTTCATCTGATCACATGATGAAGGTGTTTTACCAGATGTATCCACCATCATCACTCTCTCCCGGCTCTTCCTCCTCCTCTTCTTCCTCTCCGTTCTCATCCATGTCTTTCTCCTCCTCGTCCTCCCAGCCGACGCCACTGCTGAAATCTCCAGAGCTGAGCAGCTCATCTACAGCACACACACACACACACACATTCAGTCGCAGACACACACACAGTCACTCAACGGCCCGTGTAACAGGAAGGCCTGAAAGTAGGGTGACCACCCGTCCCGCGTAGCGCGTGCGCGCACAGCGTTTGAAGCCCAATTCATGCGTCCCGCAAATTGAGACCGTGTCACGCATAATCAATGCTTGCTCAAAAAAAGTCGGTCACTCTTTATCCTCGAGACGCAGGCAGCCAAACGTTGTGCCTGAACACGTTCACGTTCATGAACTCGTTCATATTTTGGGTGAACTGAACGTATTGTTTAACTGCCTGTCTTGATGAACGTGTGAACTCGTTCATTCTGGTGTCTCTGAACGCACGCTCTCTCAGTTTAACTTCGTTCAATGGGGTGCCAGATTTCTATAGAGCCTTCCAGGCGAACACCCTGCTAAAACTCACCGTAAACAGGGCTCAATATGTAGCGAAAAAACACCCAATCTGGCAACACAAGCCACCAGTGTCGCACCGTGGCCGCCGTCGACAAAGGCGTCGTATGATAATTTAAACGGATTTTATAACGAGGTCGGTGAAGATGGGAAAAATCTTACATTTCTGTGCAAACTTGAACTGAACTAGTTCGTTTTAAAATGTGTGAACTGAACTTTGAACTAGTTCATGTAGAAAGTGAACTTCATCAAGACTGGTTGCCACTCCCACGTGACCTGCTGACTAGGTTGATGTCAACTTTTTCATTGTTGTCATGACAGCGCAGCTTCTCATTCCGTGAACCTCTGGAGTTGTGAGTTTAGACTTTTTTTCGACTTTTTTTAAACTGTTCCTGTGGTGTTGAGCAACTATAATTCCTGTTAATCCTATAATTTTATACTTTTATTGATTTAAAGTGAATTAATTGTAATAAAAAATAAATAAAATTAAATAGCTAAAGTAAATCGTAAGTGGAAGTGCTGTCAATTCATTGAATGTTCAAAATATTCATCTTTATTTAGAAAACAAATACACATTGGTTGGCCTATTCATGAGAATATATCAGCAATTACACATGTTTAGGGAATAGGGCATTATTAATGCATGTGCTAAGGTAATAATTGCTTTTTTTTTTAACAATTATTCATGTACAAACAGTAAGGCAATAGTAACAATTCTAGATATGGGTAAACCACTATAAGAGTCTGCCCGTGGGGTGGGGGCACCGCCGCGCCAAGCAGTGTCCCACATTGTCCCTCAGAAACATACCCCTTGTCCCCCCTTGGGCTTATTAGCAGGTGGTCACCCTACCTGAAAGCGATAGATCTGCTGACACTCACGCATAGACATATACACTAGACCTCACCTTGGGGTTCTAAGCATGCGTCAAAACCGCCGCCATCTTGGAACAGGGGTCTTGTCATAGGAAGTAGCTAGGTAACGCTGCTATCTCTGCTTTTACTTCGAATTTATTGATGGTGGCGGTCTTTTGTGCAGCGTATGATGTTCACGGATGAAATCTGAACTAGGAAGAATGTTAAAAAAAAAAAAAAAAAATCTTTCTGGAATCAATGATAAATACATGTCTGACCGTTGGAACAAACCAAAAAAACAAGAAAAATCGCATTCATGCTGATTTATGGTGATTTTATTTGCGTTAGACCTGTGTCTGATGCATTAAAGTGGAGGGGCTCCCCTGTTTCAAGATGGCGGCTCTATTGACGCATTCGTTCCAATGAACTGCCGTAGCCAAGGTGAGGTCTAGTGGATATGTCTATGACACTCACCGCAGTCTGGGTTTCCATGGATACGGGACCCGGTGACCTCTGACCCCTGAGGGTCGACGCACCAGCACTCGCCTCGGCTTCGGTCGCACTGAAGCTTCCGGTAGTAGCCGTCCTCATCACAACTGGGGATGTACATGCCTGCACACACACACACACACACACACATCTGGTGAACTATAAATACACACTTGAATAGATGCAGGAGTAGAGACGTTTGTTTGTGTGTGTGTGTGTGATCACCTGCTTTCCTCTTAGACGCCTCCAGTATTTGGATCCTCTCGATTTCAGCCAAGCATGGAGGTTCTGGAAAAAACACTCGAAATTATGAAAGATCACGTAACCGATGACACAACAGACTGTGTTATACTAGCTTTAACCACTTTTAAATGGAAACAAGCCTTTGTTTTTAATTTTAAAAGCAGAAATTCAACAATATCTGCAAACAATACTGGGTTTGAAAAATAAGAAAGCTGCAAAACGTCTATATGTAAACATTTTCACATTTTTGTTTGTCACTGTTTTGTTTGTCTTTTCATGTTTTTTATTATTATTATTATTATTTAGTCTGTTCAATGTACCCCTGACTGTAATTGTAATTCTTGAAATTCAATAAAAAAAAATTAAAAAAAACACTTTTAAATGGTTTTTTTTTGCACTTTAACTCATAATTGCACTTCCTGATGACACGAGCTCTTTAATGAAGGGATCAGCAGGACTCACTCTCTCTCCAGAAGCACAGACACCATTCAGCCGTGGAGACCTTCCCGTCCCGGTAGGAGTCGCACGAGTTGAAGAACGGCCGGATACACACTTCGTACTTCTCCAGGTTTATGGCGGCCAGCTCGGACTGATCCAGGAACAGGTCGTTACTGGAGTCCAGCTTAGAGAACATCCAGCCGATGGAGTCCTTACAGCCGGCCACCAGACCCCGCTCAAACACTGCAGGGACACAGCACACCAGAGCACTTCTGTGTAATGTGTCCATTACAAACACAAGCACAACAGAACAGACATGATTATATACTTGATTCAACAAACTGCAGTTGCTCATTATCATTTAAAGAGACATGCACCTCATTATCATTTAAAGAGACATGCACCTCATTATCATTTAAAGAGACATGCACCTCATTTTCATTTAAAGAGACATGCACCTCATTATCATTTAAAGAGACATGCACCTCATTATCATTTAAAGAGACATGCACCTCATTTTCATTTAAAGAGACATGCACCTCATTATCATTTAAAGAGACATGCACCTCATTTTCATTTAAAGAGACATGCACCTCATTTTCATTTAAAGAGACATGCACCTCATTATCATTTAAAGAGACATGCACCTCATTTTCATTTAAAGAGACATGCACCTCATTTTCATTTAAAGAGACATGCACCTCATTATCATTTAAAGAGACATGCACCTCATTTTCATTTAAAGAGACATGCACCTCATTATCATTTAAAGAGACATGCACCTCATTATCACGTAAAGAGACATGCACCTCATTATCATTTAAAGAGACATGCACCTCATTATCATTTAAAGAGAGATGCACCTCATTATCATTTAAAGAGACATGCACCTCATTTTCATTTAAAGAGACATGCACCTCATTTTCATTTAAAGAGACATGCACCTCATTATCATTTAAAGAGACATGCACCTCATTTTCATTTAAAGAGACATGCACCTCATTATCATTTAAAGAGACATGCACCTCATTTTCATTTAAAGAGACATGCACCTCATTATCATTTAAAGAGACATGCACCTCATTTTCATTTAAAGAGACATGCACCTCATTTTCATTTAACCAGTTAACCTTCGGGCAACCGACGGCGCTCTGAAGCCCCCCCCCCCCCCCCCCCCCACTAGTTTAATGTTTATGAATGGATTTAACATGAAAGAAGATCATTAATCTTGGCAAACTATATATAATTTTAAAGGTCTAAGCCTCGGGCATCGATGTCAGTGCACTGTTTTTCGATGGAAAGCTTATAACAAATGTATTTCTTGCATTTAGGTAAGCAGTACACATAAAAACGCACGTAAACAAAAACGGAGTACTCACCATTATTTTGTAATAACGAGCCAGACACGCATCCACTGTTAAAAATTCCAGATTGAATGGAAAGCTGAGGGTCCACTGAATAACATCCCATAGAGCATTTTTTGTCCAAAGAAAAAATAATGTTGTAATATCCATGGTAATTCCTTTGTTTACATCGCGTTTCTTCAGGGTGAATATCATGCGGTTTTGTTATGCAATAAAATAGTCCATAGAAAACAGACTCCCGGTAGCAGACCCTTATATGGGTGTGTTGCTTAGAGTGTAATGAACAAATTACGACCGCGCACACACACACAAATACAAAGATAAGCGATATCTAGTTCAAAATATGCAAACACTGCAGTCCGTTTTTTTGACGTCATGATATGCACATCATATCATTCTGTCTTTATAACGAAAGCCAATAAAAGAAATGACATGATATGACTGATAAAACATGTAGCCAACCAGTGCACGATTCCAACGATGCCCGGGAAGTTTGAATTTCTCACACGAACATATGTTTTTATTTGCTCTCCGTCCGATAGAGGAGCTAAACTATCTCGACGCAGGCTGTGACCACACCCACCGCTGTCATGTTTTGACAGGCCTGCTATAGCTAAGAGCTAAGATAACAAGCTAAGAGGTAGCTAGTCAACAAACATCTGTTCGTGCAGACATGCAGACTGTCATAAAATGATTTGTCAAAAGAAGTATTTTTCTGCTGAAGTAGTTATTCGAGATCACTCGAAGATGGATTATGTCGACATTGATGAGAAGATGAGATGAGAAGATCGTGACGACGGTGATAATTATGCTTGAGGGCGGAAAAGATTATCCAATTTTCGGTGAGTTGCTTTATACATAACTTATGTAACATGCACACATTATACGTGTGTCTGTGTGTGTGTGGGTGGGTGAGAGAGAGAGAGTGTGTGTTACTGTGTTTGGTTTCCAGTTGTTTCATACGGAAAATGCATTGTGTAAAGTTGTGTCTGAAAAGATTATGCTACTTTATATGCATTTATTTATTTGTATATAATGTATTTATATGCGTTGTACGGTTATGCAGTTGTTTGCCGTTTTTTTCTGGCACATGTGGTGTGCTATCTGAAGGATGGAGGGGCTGGACACCTGTGCAATATACATTTTTTCCTAGCACACATACTGTATATTTTTACAGTCTAATATACATAATATTTATAGTACAAATGCAAATATTTGTACTGTAAATATGATGTATGTTGTACTGTAAATGTATATGTTGTATGTATATATATATATATATATATTGGTTTTTTTTTGTTGTTTTTTGCAGAAATTGGTGGGAAGAATTGCAGAAAATATGTGCTATATAGGAAGGAGTTGTATGCTTTCAAAATGGCACATTCCTGTCTGATGGCCGGCCATCAGTGTGATTGTTGGTTCTTTGTCTGGTCATCCATATGAATGCTGTCTATATCACTGGCCATTGATTGTTGATTGAATGGATGAGCTTTAGTACGAATGCTGTGTAAACGACTGCCCATCAGTTTGATTGTTGAATGAATGGCCAGCTATATAGAAACTAAACAGAATTATTTACTTGACATGCAGTGCTAATTATCTTTCCATTCTTTCCCATGCAACAGCCATCAAGTTGAATCTTCAGATGATGAATGGCATCCAAGCACCAGCCAGAGATGCAAGCTCTCAGTTTCTTCACTATTCTTCACTTTTTCCATACTTTTCAGAACATTGCAATTGACCAGAGGATGGTGGCATCAAAAGCTAGGAATGGACTAAAGCAATATATGAAGGCCAAGCCAACAAAGTACAGTATTTATATCACTTGTATTTTCTATTGCAAAGAACCTCAGTTATTTATTTTTTATATTTCATAATATTTTACTTATGTATTTTACATATATTTTTTTGTTCTGTTGTGCAAATAAATCACTTGCATAAAGTCTAATGGTTGTGTGTATTATTTTATAATTGCATTATTTTATGAATTGACTGAAATAGCTTGCAGTGCCCTGCATAACATTTGGTCATTAGGTTGCTTTTTGATGTATCCAAGGAGGTTTCTTGGTACCTGGACATAGTCTTGGAAAAAATTATGTTGGAATCTCATTTTTCATAATATCTTCCTCAAATTTGAAATATAAACTGATGAGACTTATGTCTTTCAATCAATTACCTAACTGGATTCCTACAGGTTTGTTTTCATTTATTTTTACATGAAATTGTAAAATATTACATGCAGTATAAATTATCTTCAAGACACTTTAAATTCTATAACTTTTTGTCTGTGTAAGTTTTTTCAACTTTAACAGTTGGGTAATACACTCTAAAGTGTCTTCTTTTTAAACATGTCTAAATTGTGCATGTAGTGCAAATAGTTGAGCAACTGCAAATATTTTAGTTTGGGCATGTTATTTCTGGGGATGTGCCTCAGGCAGGGGGAGGGAGAAAGGGAACTGACATAGTCTTGGAAAAAAGTTTGCAGGAACCCCATTGTTCATTATATCTTCCTCAAATTTGAAATATAAACTGATGAGACTTGTGGCTTTCAATCCTTTATCTATCTGAATTACTCCAGGTCTATTTTTATATATTTGTACATGAAATACTAAAACATTTTTGTGGCGCACATTATTTTTGAGGCACTTTTAACTTTTATAACTTTTTTTCTGTTTGAGCATTATCAAATCTGATTGATTGTTAGTAGAGTCCCAACTGTCTTCTTTCCAAAGATACCTTAATTGTGCCTGTGGTACACTGTTCTCAGGAGCTGTATTTATTGCTATCCAGGCATGTCATTTTCAGCTGTGAGCCCCCTTGTGGAGCTGAAGGTTAACAGGTTAAAGAGACATGCACCTCATTATCATTTAAAGAGACATGCACCTCATTTTCATTTAAAGAGACATGCACCTCATTTTCATTTAAAGAGACATGCACCTCATTATCACTTAAAGAGACATGCACCTCATTATCATTTAAAGAGACATGCACCTCATTTTCATTTAAAGAGACATGCACCTAATTATCATTTAAAGAGACATGCACCTCATTATCATTTAAAGAGACATGCACCTCATTATCACTTAAAGAGACATGCACCTCATTATCATTTAAAGAGACATGCACCTCATTATCATTTAAAGAGACATGCACTTCATTATCACTTAAAGAGACATTCACCTCATTTTCATTTAAAGAGACATGCACCTCATTATCACTTAAGGACAACCTGACGTGTTCACCTGACGCTGTGGCTTGTCCTTGTTTTCCAGAGTTGTTCTGTTTAGCATTTCCGTGTAGAAGCTGAAACCAGTCTCTGAGTCTGTCGCCCAAATCTGCCAGATCCTGGCCGGTGCAGATCTCTAGAGAGACAGCATATAATGACAGGATTATCAACTAGGGCTGGGCAAAAAAATCAATTTTTTATCATTTTTATCATCATTTTTTAAAATGTGGTCAATCCAAAATCATTACTCAAAGACCACAAACCGATTTTTCCCTTATTTATTTATCACCCAAAAGCCAGTTTTAGTTTCCCTCCACTGTTCATCTGCATGTTACAGATAACACTGTGATATTTTGTGTGTTTTATCTTTAACACAAAACACCCTGATCATATTTGATCGAGGCGTGCGACTGTTTTGAATTTTTTAACGTGCATCAAAATCCTGTCTATTCATTGTATGCATTTGAAATATAGAGTTGGTTTCTGTTTTAATGCACCCTAAAAAGAGTTTGTCTTAATTTATTTTTATTAATTAACCACTTGTAAACTTATGTTCACTGTTCTTCTTTTATATAAATATAGGATTTGTATTAAATCTATATTCATTGAGTCGAATCGAGAATCGAATTGAGAACCGTAATCGAATCGAGAATCGAAATCACATCGAAATAGATTTAATTGAAATTGAATAGAAATCTAATCGAATTGAGAATCGAAATGGAATTGAAATCAATTGAGAATCGAAATGGAATTGAAATCAGTTGAGAATCAAATTGGAATTGAGAATCGAAATCAAATTGAGAATCGAATTGAGAATCAAAATCTGAATCGAATTGAAATCGAAATCGAATCGAAATCGAATTGAATCAAAAATCAAAATGGAATTGAGAATCGAAATCAAACTGAAATCGTATCGAGAATCGAAATCAATCGAAATCAATCGAAATCGAATCGAAATCAATTGAGAATCGAAATGGAATTAAGATCGAATTGAGAATCGAAATCGAATTGGGAATCGAGATCGAATTGAGAATTGAAATCGAATCACAATTGAATCGAAATCGAATCGAATCAAAAATCAAAATGGAATTGAGAATCAAAATGGAATTGAGAATCGAAATCGAAATGAAATTGAATCGAGAATCGAAATCAATTGAGAATCGAAATGAAATTGAGATCGAATTGAGAATTGAAATCGAATTGAGAATCACAATGGAATGGAATTGAGAGCTTGCGGATCGAAATGGAATTGAATTGGAACATCTAACTCGATATTCCCAGCCGTATTTTAAACTGTCCTAGCAGTGGCGCATTAATAATGCAGAGGAACAATAAACTCACTCAAATGCATTAAAATTGAAACTAAGTAGAAAAAAGTAGCTTTGTAAAACATGAATGTTGACCTGGCTTTGACACTGAACATCATCTTGCAGAGAGACAGAGATGAAAAAAAAAAACCCTGACCTGGATCCGGTTCGGGTTCGGCTGAAGTCTCTGGGTTCGTCTTAATCTTGGGTTCTGCTTGATGAACTCCAGCCGTGACACAAGGACATAACCCAGAACACAGAACCGACAGATCCTTCCCCGCCAAACACGCCTGCTGCTCCAGCTTACACTGATCACACACACACACACACACACACACACAGACAGAGAGTTTTCTATTCAGGATGAAGAGCGTTAATGCTCGTTAAAACACTTCTGCATTCAAACAGTCAATAAATACATTTAAGTGAAAGTAAATCTATAAAATTAATTAATTAATTAATTAATTAATTCATTCATTCATTCATTCATATAAAAAAGTAAATTCATAAAATAAACACATTTAAACAAAGTAAATCTATAACATAAATAAATACATTTAAAATAAAGTAAGTCTTTAAATAAATATATTTAAAATCATGTAATTCTATAAAATAAATGCGTTTAAAAAAGTACATCTATAAAATAAATAAATTCTAAAAAATAAATACATTTAAAATAAATTAAATCTATAAATAAATACATGTCAAAGAGCGTTATTCTGTAGAATAATTACATACATTTAAAATAAAGTAAATTAATAAAATAAATCAATCAGTTAATCAAAAGTAAATTTCTCAACAGAAAAAAAAACAAATTTTATAATAAAGTAAATCTATAAATAAGTAAATAGATTTTAAAAAGGTAAATAAATAAATACATTTAAACTAAATACAATCCAAATAAAACACTAAAACATTTGAAATATTTTATTGTTTTACCTGCATGTCAACATGTGAATTAAGTTTTTAAATTATTGAAATATGAAATCTCTGATGAGAAAGTTTAGGAATCCTGCAGATAAAAGACGCGAGTGCGACCTCTAGTGACGGAGCGCGACCTTTACGCAACACTCCTTCAGCTCAGAGATCGATGGATGTGCAGAGTGTGTGTGTGTGTGTGTGTGTGAATCACTGCAGTAGATGAATGAGTCGGACGGACTGGTGACTGTATGGATTCATACACCGTTTTTAATTTTGACCTTGTGTGCAAGTGTCTCTCTCTCTCTCTCTCTCTCTGAAAGAGCAATCTTGTGGTCATTCCTATAAATATTTGATCTGGTTCCAGCTCAAGTCTTGATGTTCTCACTGCAGCCTAGACGCAGTGTGTGTGAAATGCGTGCGTGTGTGTACCTGCGAAGTGTGTGTGTGTGTACCTGTGAGGTGTAGATGTGTCCGTCTGATCCGCACACAGGCGCGGAGGGCGTCACTGAACAGGGTTTACAGCCGTTCTTCTCACGAGGTTTCTGTCCAGACTGACGGATTCTAGCGCAAACAAGACAAATCAACACTGAGCATCAACACCGCTCGCTCCAACACACCATACGACCCGTGCCCTCACGACACACTCCACGGTAAATACTGACAAATGGAAGCATTGCATTCTGGGATACAGTGTGAGATATGTAATTGCACAACAAAAGCTTGTTAACATTATGATTAACCCTGTAAAGCCAGATTATTGAACCTGTAGACAAAACGTATAGCAATGTTTGCATTTGTGTTTATTGTTGAGCATCATATTTGCTACATCAGGATTTTATGGCTCATAGTGAGAATAAACAGAGCAAAAATATGCAGCAGATGCTGATATTTATATGGACAAAACTTGATGGAAATCAATGAGATCTTTATAACAGAACAGCAGATACTGACATAAAATGATGTAAATATCAATATCCACCATCTTAAGATGATATCTTATATGATTTAAAATATAATGCAATGCAATACAGTGATGATTGAGAGATAAAACTTCAAAAGCCTGATGATCATATTTGATCCTCGTGTCTTTTCTATAAAATTATTGATAATCAAGTAAAGCTGCTTCAGTGCAGGAAGTCTGGAATATTTCATCTTGAAATATTACTAATAATCTCATAGTTATTCTTATAAAATCAGTGCAGATTTCACTGCTGGACGTCTGTACACATTACACATAAAGATCAGCGATTTAAAGTTGATCCATCAAGATAAGAGCTTTTAAAGAGATAACGGTTTAGCTGAGGTAATGAGATCATCTCTACAGATATCAGAATGATGCATTTATGAATGAACGTCTATTTAAGCACATATGAACGTGCTGTGTGTGTGTGTGTGTGTGTGTTAGGGCTGGGTATTGACACAAATTTCACAATTCGATTCACAAGCTTGCAATTTGATTCAATTTTGATTCCGATTCGATTCAATATTGATTATTTTGGATATCAGTTCCAATAAATGGCAGTTTTTCTCAAGGGAATCAAATCTCTAACTAATGCTGTAAACTATGGGAGTCTAGTTGTAGCCTATAGGCTTCATTAGCCTAATATGAAGGTAATAATGAACTGTTTTGTAGCTATACAAACACTTAAATTACACTTTTATTTATTTTTATAATAAGAAGATTATATGAAATATAAACATTTAAATGGTGGCTGTCATAAAAACTTGCCAGATTTATTCAAATATACATTAAATATTGAAGAACATTAAGATTATAATGCATATGTAATATGGTGTATATATTTAGCAAAATGCTCCTCTCTAGAGTTATTTTTTCTAGCTGACTAACGAGTTTATGTGGGTTTTCTGAGGTAAATATGACGATACATTGATTACAAGCTGTTTAACTGACGTCTTTCCACGGTTGAAACGCTGATTGAGCGAATCAATGTGACATGATCCGGATTTGGATAAGTTGTCCTCTATCTTTAACACACTTTCAGATGCTCATTCATGTTTATTTGGTGCTGTGACTGGTATTATTAAGCCGGAAGAGAGATCAGCGCTGCTGCTTCTCCAGAGCGATCTCACGCCACAGCGACAAAACGCTATTTATGTTTTTGAATTTCTAAAGAAAATTGACGTAATTTGAAAATTGAGACTTTGTTTCATATCAATAGTAACAAAGGATTTTTTTTTTGGATGCGCGCAGCCACGATACAACGTCCCATTCATTCAAATGAAACAGGATGACTAATCGATTCTTGAGATTTAAGAATCGATATCGGTTCATAAAAATGAGAATCGATTAGTATCGAGAAATCGATATTTATTACCCAGCCCTAGTGTGTGTGTGTGTGTAACGTCTCGAGGTTGAGAACAGCAGTTTATGAACTCATTGATTTGTGTGTGACTTCATCATTTATCTGCACAGCTTTAGTGTAATCGGCAGAAACTAATGGGTCAGAACATTATAACCCGCAGTGTCCATATCAGCCGAGACAGTCGTTTGTCTCTTGTGTGTGTGTGTGTGTGTGTGGGAGAGAGACCGTTTGCTACAGATTTTATAAAAGAAAGAAAGTCTGCAGCCAATAAATCAAGCAGTGCCATTTCTAGAGCTCTCTTTGAACGAACAACTGATTTAAGAGATCTTTCTAGATCTTTTATTCTCTGAATAAAACTGAGCTGTTTTTCCTTCATATTCTCACTATATCAGATTATACGAGCCATAAAAGTCAAATATGATTCTGAACAAAAAACATATATGCAAACTTTTGTGATATTTTGTTTGTTATTGCATTTTTTTTTTTTGAGTATTATTTTCAAATGTCAGGCTTTACAGGGTTAAAGGTAGGGAAAAGGTCATTAGAAACTAAACTGTGAGCGCAGGATTGAGCCGATGTGAGCGAGACTCACCTGTGCTCGAGTTTCTTGCGGTTCACACACATGGCTCTCTGGTAGCCCTGAGCCACACACACTTTATGACGACTGCATCTCACCTTCTGACACGGATCCTTCGTAGTGTCCAGACCTGCAAAAGCAGACAGTGAGATCCTGCACACGGTCATCTTCTCGAGTGTGTAATGTTGATGATCAAGTCCCTCCAGCGGGAGGTCTTCTCTATATCAATTAGAGCCAGACCGATATATCGGCCGATATTAGGCATTTTTACAAACTATCGGTATCGGCAGTTATAATGGCCGATAAATTAATATTTCAAAAACAAAATGAAAATGGATGAAACTAGGGCTGCAACTAACGATTATTTTGATAATCGATTAATCGGACGATTATTTTTTCGATTAATCGATTAATCGGATAAAAAATTTATTCCATTTTTTTGTTTATTATAACTAAATAAAACCCTAAAAAACACACTCTTTTGTGTGTTAAACAATCTTCTTAATACAGACAACTTCATTATATAGAAAAACAACAAATAAAAAAAATATATATGACCATAACCTATGACAAAAATGCTATTGTAAACTAGATTAGTGGATAACTCCGAAAAACTTAGCCTAGAAAAATCACAAGTGCACAATAATTTTATAAAATCTGAACATTTAGTGAAAAAAACATTCCTTAGTGGGGAAAAAATAAGAGACAATAAGTGTAGCACTATCTCTGGTAAAACGTTACACATTGCTCTTTGTATTGTTGTTATACATTCATGAAAAACATCGTAAAAATCAGATGCACAGCTGTTTAGTGAGGAAGCAATATTGACTGTGTATTATACAGTATCATTGCAATAGTTTATTAAGCCTTTTCTTTTAACAGTTTTAAATTTCAGTTAGGCTACTGTGCACGTGAAGAACAATTATAGTGCGCCGAGTCTACTCTAGTGTTGTGATCTAACAGACAGACACTCAGTAGAAAGTGATTAAGTTACAGCAATAAAAGTCTAGCAAGATAGTCATTATATTACGAAACCATAGACCTTTATCTACGGATCAATTATAATAATAACATTGAATCATCTTGGAAAGAGTTTCATCATGTTAACTGTTGTAACGCGACGCGCTGTTTGAACACCGAATAGAGAATGACTGACAGCCGCAGTGGAGGGAAAAGCTTACGTTAACTTGAATTTAATGACTTAAATATACATTTCTATCTCACATTATACTACAGTATGGCTTCATAAAGTATACACGATTAACGCAGGTCACCTATTTTGGTTTCAAAACGGCGAATTTGCCGAAAGGTGAATGATTTTCGTGTATGCTGCATATTGATAGCGGTTTCCTGATACCCGCAAATTAGTTCAAACTCACGGAATCAAGAGTGCGCATGCGAGACAGAAGATAATGTGCTCCAAACCGTCCGTGTTGCGCACAGACCGGCGAGGGAGAGAGACTGCGTGTGTGCCTCATGAAGCGCATGTAAGAAGCGCATGTAAGAACCGCATGTAGCATGTAAACAATCCCTGTGACGTAATCAGACCAACTAATCGATAATGACATTCGTTGACAACGATTTTCATAATCGATTATAATCGATTTTATCGATTAGTTGTTGCAGCCCTAGATGAAACACGCTTCAACCATGTCATGTTGGAGTGTTGGAGTTGTAAGTTTGTCCACCAGAGGGCACTCTACACCATCCCTGGCCTGTTGGCAACACTCGTTTATAACGCGCAACACATTCTAGCTAATCACAAAGCTAGCTAATGCCACTGTCATCAATGGAATTTAATGAGCTTTGTTAATTAATTAATGAGCTTTGGTTCCTCCTCTGTTCTGTTGCGACAATAAAAGAAACAAGTTTCTTTTTAAAATGCATTATCATATTATTTGAATTAAAACTCATACATAACTACAAATAACTAATGTTAGGGAAATCTGTTAATGTTTTGTTGTGTGTTCCTGCAAAATAAAATAAAAAAATATCGGCCGATATATCGGATTTTAAAACCAACAAATATTTGTGTCGGTATCGGCCTTCAGAATCCTTTATCGGTCGGGCTCTAGCCAGTGTTTCTCCTGAAACGCCTCCAGTGTAGTCTCGAATTTCTTCCGGAACACGTCACATTATTCCTCATTATAATAATTAATGCGCAGAATAAAGGGGCGGGGCCTGGTTGAGTTAGTTGTGTGTTAAACTGGCGATTATTGGACTTTCCCAAACACACTCAAAGCGCTCGACCAGTCAGAACACACCGCTCCAGCCAACCAATCGGAGCACAGTGTACTTTCAGAAGGAGGGGCTTCATAGAGACAGGAAGTAAACAGAGTGTTACTAGACCCAAATTGAAAATATGCCCAATTTGAATGTGTCAATTTCGCACAAACTCCCATATATCGCAAAAAAAAAATAATTAAACTCGCATGAGGAGGTGTAGAAACAGTTTTTCACATTTACACTTAGATGATGCGGTGTGTTTGGACAGAAGCTCTTTATTAAACTCATAAAAGACAAAAGAGTTGCAGGAATACTGGATTGTAAACCTCTAAGAAACGCCACGATCACGAGCCGAAAGCAGATATGAGGGAGAAACACACAGAAACTCCTCATAAGTGCCGCTCTCGGGCTTTCCTTGCCATCAATGCTTTGATAACACGCATACGTCCTGTGGTAGATGATCGCCTACACACTTGAGTGTCCTTGACGCCTGAAGATATTTTACTCAGTTGAGTTCACCTCTGATCGCACGGGTTAACGTCTAAGTGTAGCTATTCTTAACACACTCTCGAATGATTTCATATTCATTATAGTATTTACAGATCATTGAATATTAATAAATAACTGCTGTACTATTTCCAAGACAGTTACATTTGAAAAAACTAGCTCAAATTTCTACGTGATTACGCAATCACAGCTAGTGTAAGACGAGCATTTGTGGTTAAAAAGTATATATATATTTATTAATTTTGTTATAAAATGAGTGATGGTTTGTCTAGATAAGACTTATTCCTCGGCTGGGATCGTGTCGAGACTTTGAAGCTGCACTGGAACCGTTGGACCCCATTGAAGTCACTATATGGAGAAAAATCCTGGAATGTTTTCCAAAACCTTCATTTCTTTTCGACTGGATGACATCTTGGATAACATGGGGACAAGTAAATTATCAGGAAATTTTCATTTTGAAGTGAACTCAACCTTTAAAGTCGAACTGAAACTGAATTTGTGCTCGTTTTTTCTTCTCTATTGTGCCGTATATATCAAATGAACAAATGTGGGCAGAGCTTGATTTTGTCCGTGGGGAGTTGATTGGCTGTTTGTGGTTTGCTATTGGTGGATCTCATGTGAGTGACAGGTTGCCCCGGTCACTACTGTCTCCTTACACAAGTTAAAAAGTCTAAATAATGCACAAAAAGCAGATTTTACAATCTCATTTAAGGAAAATGAGCTGAATCTCTTTTTATCCCGGCACTCATTATGAATAATTCAAAACTAGACTCTCGAGTAGAGAAAAAAAACCTCAGCCCAGGAAAAAGAAGAAGCGATCCGTCTGGAAGCGACATTTCACCGCAGAATACACCATCTGCTTTCTGTGTGTGTGTGTCGGTAAACTGATAAACAAGACCAGCGACAGAACAACACGCCAACATAAATCAGAAACAGAGAGACGGGATCATCCTTCCCAAGAGGAAACACATGACTCACTGAGGAAACTTGTTTTCCTACAAATATTAGGAGAGACTGGAAGATTTGGATCATGACGACTGGCGCTTATTCAGAGATGAACAAACGGATGTTTTCTCCTGTTCAAATGTAACACTGTCATGGTATTATCTTGGAAATAGTAGCAGTTATTTCTTATTATTCCATGGAATGTAAATACTAGAATTAATGAATATGAAATCATTCAGTATCATAGAGAGTTTCCACATATTTTTACCAATGAAGTTCCAAGATATTTTCAGTAGTTTGTATGATTGATTACTGGATACATTGACAAGCAAAACTCTTAAAAATGACATTGTTGAAATGTTTAACTAACTAACTAACTTACTAACTAATTAACTAACTAACTAACTTACTAACTACTAACTAACTAACTTACTAACTAACTTACTAACTACTAACTTACTAACTAACTTACAAACTAACTTACTAACTAACTAACTTACTAACTAACTAACTAACTAACTAACTAACTAACTAACTTACTTACTAACTACTAACTAACTAACTTACTAACTTACTAACTAACTTACTAACTACTAACTTACTAACTAACTTACAAACTAACTTACTAACTAACTAACTTACAAACTAACTAACTAACTAACTTACTAACTAATTAACTTACTAACTAACTAACTTACTAACTACTAACTTACTAACTAACTTACTAACTTAATAACTAACTTACTAACTACTAACTTACTAACTAACTAACTTACTAACTACTAACTTACTAACTAACTTAATAACTACTAACTTACTAACTAACTTAATAACTAACTTACTAACTACTAACTTACTAACTAACTAACTTACTAACTACTAACTTACTAACTAACTTACTAACTTAATAACTAACTTACTAACTACTAACTTACTAACTAACTAACTTACTAACTACTAACTTACTAACTAACTTAATAACTAACTTACTAATTAACTTACAAACTAACGTACTAACTAACTAAATTAACTTACTAACTAACTAACTTTTCATTTAGTTTTTTTGTTTTTTGTTGCCTCATGTGCTTTTATCTTTTTCATTTGTTTTTTAGATTTCTATTTTTCTATTTATTTTTATCTCAGTTTGTCATTTTAATACTTCTCCTTAAACTTTATATGATATTTAAAACTTGAAATTTATTTCAGTGAGTGAAATAGTTTTTTTTAATTTCTTTTTTTTTTTTGCAATTTATATATAGGCCTATAAGTAGCCTATATGTTTATTATTTATATATGATGTATATATGATTTCTATTTTAATTTGATGCATACTTTTTTTCATTTGACTCACATTAGAGTGATTTGTGAAGGGTCATGTGACACTGGAGACTGGAGTAATGATGATAAATCCAGCTTTGATCACAGGAAAAAAATATATTCAGATAGAAAACAGATGTCAAAATATTTCATAATTTTGCAGTATTTTCGATCAAATAAATGCAGCCTTGGTGAGCAGAAGAGACGTCTTTATCTTATCGACCCAAACTTTTAAACGTTTTTTGTGCAATACATTGAAGTACTGTGATCCCGCTGCTGTAGCCATTTATCCATTAGTAGCCATTTATTTTAGGATGATGACCTTTTTACTGTACATGATCACGTATTCATGAATCATGATCACATTGCCAGATGCAGAATACGATCAGTATCATGGCCCTGATGTCTCTCTCTCCCTCTCTCGATCTCCAGGGTTATTATGGTCAACCCCGTGAGGTGGATAATGAAGCGATTCTTCAGGCCGGTGTGACCGCAGACGGGCCGAACCGTCTTTCGCTCTCGGCTCGGAGCGGCGCTGGAGGCGTTTCCATAGAAACATGAGCAATTTCTGCACTATGATTTGTAGCACACTTACAAGCTTCATAAACGGACGCAGCTCGTCTGAAAGCGGCCGAGAGCCACAGAGGAAACGGGTGATTTATCCGTCTAAATCTACACGTGTTTATCTCTCTGACTCCCGAAGCTACAGAGGAGACGATTACACATTTAATCCCAATGTATGGGATTTTATCCACACTAAAATCTGTCCGCACACACTTTTATGATGTTAATCGTCACGGTAAAGACCCTCGAAACGGGTCGTTGAGCTGCTGAAATAAAATATGCAAAGCCGTGCACGTAAAAAGATTTTAATCTGCGCTCTCAAACAAAAGCTTTTCTGATCCACTATCTGTGTGTGTGTGTGTGTGTGTGTGTGTGTTCAGTCCTGTAATTACTGCCACATTAGACGGGATCTCAGACAGTAAGGTATAATTGTGTGCGGGTCGTTAAGTCAGTATGACATCACTAGTCTAGAGTTAATGGCCGACAGCAGACGTTCTCCAATAATGGAGCTTTGAGGATTTGAAGGAATTTAATATTCACTGTAAGTAGCGTTATAGTGTCTCGAGATGAATATGAAAAATGCTAGAAAAGAAATGTTTCACAAGTGTCACAAAAGCATCGAATGTCTGTCAAACATTAATAAGAATATTTTATGACCATTTGAAAAACTAATTTTCTTACAGCAACAATGTGATTTTTTTTTGTTTGCTATAAAATACTGTAAAACAATGATTTGCATTTTTATGCAAAATTTGCATTTTAGAATATGGCATTATTATGTGCTTTATAAGTACTAATACACAGCTAATATATTGTTTAATAGTGAGATTGGACACTATAATAAAAAAAGTGTGAATCAGCAAAAAATGGGTATAAATTAGATTAATTTGGGATTTTCTTTGAGCAAAATATCTTTTCTTTTCTTTTTTTTTCTTTGATTTTGGTGTTGCCGTAATAAAGTGCAGTGTGGAGTTGGTTACGTCACTCACTCTCATCAGACGCCTGTGGAGTTTCCAGCGTACGGATGTAGTCGTCCTGATGAGAAACACAAGAGAGAAATCATCATAGTTCATATATGTGACGTGCAACAAAACGCTTTAAAAATAAATCAGGTATTTTCCCTCATCTAGACATGATCGTTTAATGTTCCCTTGTTTCAAATAAAATTGCTGAACTGTCTTTTTCTATACACAATATTTGCTCTATATTGTTCTGACCCGACCCAGCTAACAAAAAAAAGCTCCAAAAATGTTTTGCTAACGTTCCCTTATTTCATAATGTTCTCTGAATGTTCAAAATGTCCAGTTACTGTAAAAATGATACTGTAAAATTTAATTCCAGGACTTTCAGGGACTTTTCAAGCACTAATTTTTGTTTTCAAATTCTAAAAAATGTAAATAGATCAACAAAATTAAACCAATAAAACAAAATGGTAGAAGTAAAGTCCACTAAAAGGATATTATGACAAAGATATCGCTTTCTTTATTAAAACTGATTTCTTCTCCCATGAATATATGATTGAGCTGAAGAATGAAAGATATATCATAAACTTAGATATTTATGAGCAATATCACACTCATAGACATGCAAAATGCTTCTATATCAGACGGACTGCAGCTTCATTTGGAGTGAAAAGATTGTTTTATCAAAAACACTAATTTCACATATATCGTCTTTCAATAATTCAAGTACCTTTTCATAAATATGGTTGTTTTCAAGAGTTTTCCAAAAACTCAACTTAGTCGAATTCAAGCACTTTAAGCACCAGGTGAAAGAATATGGTGCAAAAAGTTCATTTATTTCAGTAATTCAACTTAAAAGGTGAAACTAATATATTATATAGACTCCTTACATGCAAAGTGAGATATTTCAAGCCTTTATTTGTTATAATTTTGATGATTAAGGCTTACAGATATGAAAACGTTTTCACAATATTTGGCATTTTCATAATCTGTAAGTCATAATCATCATCATTATAACAAATAAAGGCTCACTTTGCATGTAATGAGTCTATATATTAGTTTCACCTTTTAAGTTTCACTTTTGCACAATATTCGAATTTTTTGAGTTTTATTTATGCGAAATGTAAACAAACATTCTATCTGATCTGCTAAACGTTACAGTTACTTTTGAATGAACATTCTAAAAAAGTAGCAACATTTAAAACCGATTAACGAACATCCAACTGAAATATTTCAGGGGGGAAAAGATTCCATGCGTGATGATGTAGAAATAATGTTTCTGTGCTATCGTTTTGAGAACATTATTAAATATCAGATTACTTTCAACGAACAATCGATTAACGTTCCTAGAACGTTTGCTCATAACTTTGAGAACTTTGTCAGAACGTTAGCCAGAGTTGTGTCAGCGTCAGTAAACCAGATTGGTCTGAACACACACATCTCACACACACAGATACCAACCTCCACTTCCTTCAGCGACGGGACGACGGTGTGGAGAAAGAGAGAGAAAATGAGATGTAAATTCACATGAAAGAGGGCAGATCCACGCTTTAATTATCATCTATTAATATGATCTGGGAGAATAAGAGCCAAGGGATTCCTGCAGATTATTGTTAAACAACACCAGAAATATACAAAATAATAAATAAAATAAAAATGCAATATAAAATAAAATGTTTCAACACTGTAAAAAATGATTTTTTGGTTAAGTAAATACTAGTGAAAAAACCCAATGTAATTTACTTGAAAAAGTTAGTTCAGGCAAGAATTTAAAAAACTAAGTAAATTCCATATCAGTACTTATTTCAAGCGAGTATAAATGAAAGTGTAATATCAACTCAATAAAATTAAGTAAAAATTACTCAACTTTTCTGATACTGGGGTTCCCATCATGCACTGGACCTTGAATAATTAATGAGGTTCATTTTTCACTGGTTTCCAGCTGTATTTACACTGTTTTATCATTGATTTTTGTTTTCAGTATTAGTAAATTGCCATTTTGTGACATTTCGAGTAAATTTTTTGCTTAAAACGACACATTCAAACACAAAAACGATCCATCAAATGTTACCACCATTGTGTATCGTCTACCAAGTATTGAGGTGTTTGCATTCACATAAGGCTTAAAGTCTGACATGATGTATATATAAATTACTTAGATGATCTAAGTAAAGCACATACTATAAATGAATATTAAAATTCAAGATAATTGTTTTAGTGAAGTGTAATACAAAGGCAAAGGAAATCGGTATTAATCAACCTTTTACAAGCCGAGTTAAAATTACTTATTTTTTGTAAAGTTTACTTAATTCCACATTCCAAGTAAATTTAACTTAAATATTTCTAATTAAAGCTTCTGATAAATATGTTTAGGTTTTTACTTGGCAAATCTTTGTAAATTTACTAGCATTTTCTGAGTGAGATCGTTTAGCAAGGTTTTTTCAAGTAAATCCTACTCCAAATTTTTTACAGTGAAGGAATCGTTTAATCAAAACTTAAAGCATTCTGTCATTATTTACACTTTTTGACTATTCATGCATATGTTTAAAACACTTTCAAGCCACAAAAATGACCAAGAACATTTCAATAGTGCCGTAACAGTAGTCAGACCTGCAGAAGAGGAGAATTCCAGCAAATACTGACTTACATTTGTGTTTTTTCTCACTCAAAGCATCAGAAAAGATTTTATTCTTCATCAACAATTTATGAACTCAACCATCTACAACTTTTTTCCTGTGTTTAAAATGTTTTTATTAGGGAATTCAACAATTTGACAATCATTGTTACATTGCTTTTTATGATTCCTTGTTAAAGGCAACATAACATAAAATAAATAAATAAGTAAATACAAATAAATAAAAATAAAATAAAAAGAACAGGACCCTAGGGACATAAGTTTCACTTTCTTAATTTATTTAATTTCTACAAAAATCTGTCTACAAAAATTACAAGAATGTCTCGAGTCTCGACCAATTATTCCAAAGCATTCTTGAATTACAACCATTAAAGTTCAGATTTCATGTGCATTTTCATGCTTATTGGAAAAAGGCGGCGTGACACTTGAGAGGTTAATAATTCACCAGGAACATGCATGAAAGTAAATTGTGATTTCATGATGACTTTGAAATACCGTATAGGTTTGTTAAACGAAAGAATACGCACTTCAAACGTGTTTTTCTCACGCGTGAAAGCCGGATGAGCCGCGAGTTTGCCCCTCAGCGCTGAAGACTGAACAGGGAAAGTGTCTTTAGACACAAAGAGAGAGCGGCTTCGGCTCAGGTTTCTCATTATGAGCTCCTGGAGCGAATCCTACTGGGAAGCTCTGTTGAAATTTAGTACCAATTGAATTTGCATGCTTCCCGCCGCGCCGGTCCTGCACACGCATGCTAATCTGACATTCACACATCCGAACGCGCCGCTTCTGCCAACACAATCAATTTGAGATTTTGTAGCATTTAGGAGCTGCGCTGTTCAATTAGACGCAGACGAAGCCCTTGAGGACGAGCGAAACGCCGACCAAACAGAACGGATCGACACCAGCGCACAATCTAGACAGCAATCTCGTAATGTCCAAATATCTGCTGATTAAGGGTCAAAGTTCAGCTGGTTAGAGTGACCACATCAATAACTATCACACTATGTAGGTAAAAAGCTTCATTTTTCATTGAAATCTATTCCAAAATAATAACTAAATTCGTTTTTTACAAGCGACGAGAGATGCGTTTGAAGTTCTATATTACAAATATTCAGGGATATTTTAATTCTTTGCATGCAAATTACCCTCAAAATGACAGATTTCAGACAAGATTTCTGCACTCAAATCATGTTTATTATTATCCGTTTGCATCTATTTAATTTAAATAATCATGTTTTTAAAATGCATTTATATAAACTCGATTATATTTATCCCGTTCAAAAGTATGAACATGGTTAAAATATGCCTAAAATTTGAAACACAACTTGTTCAGAGTTTTGGCTTTAATTTTCTTGCAGTTTTAGAGTCCACCAGGTTTAAAAATATATGTATTTTACATAAAATATGAATAATAGAATTTTTACATTGTACATTTTCATAAACTCAAAATTTTTTCCTGTGTTTAAAATGTTTTATTTGGGAATCCAATCATGAGTTTATTATTATCCATTTGCATTTATTTAATTTAATTTAATTTAAATGTTGTTTTTAAAATAAAAACTTGCCGTGAAAATGATTATATTTATCCCGTTCAAAAGTATGAACATGGTTAAAATAGGACTAGATCAAGCAATATTCAGTTAGTTAAAGATCGAAAGAAATTTGATGACAAATATAAAGTTATCAAAACACACTCAGATTATTAGTTATCTTACAGTGACTTTCAAAATTTTCAGGTACAGAAATGTAATAAAGTAATAGTCATTGTATAAATTGCACATGAATGAATCCTTGTTAAAGTTATTCAGTTAAGAGCAGTCGTTAGATGAACATTAATGATCGACGGCCGCAGGAATATTAGGCTACTGTCACTTTAAGAGCGAATGCACGGATCCGATAAACTGATACACATGCATTTCCTTTCTCAACTCTTTCATAATGAGGATACTCGCAAATACTGGCATTTGCAAGCACAATTAAAAGAGTTCAATTCGGTATTCAGTATTCGAGTCTGCACAAAGCACACATGTCTTTTCGTCATTACTACACGAGTAATGAAGTCTATAATGATGTTTTTAATGAGTAACCATAAAATCGATGTAACAATCACCGTCAAATTGTTGTATTAGCTTGTAAACACAAAAATTAATGGACATTTTCTATGCAATTCAAACACATAAATCTTACATTTAGGTCTAAATATCGCTTGTGTTTGGGATAGTCAGAAGCGGAGGGTGTGTGTGAAACTGAACATGGTGTGTTTAAACCGCTGAGATTCCTCGTTGCTGATCTACAGTCAGTGTGTGGCAGTGATTGACGAACCCGAGATGTGAGTGATGGGCCGATGACCCAGCAGTTCCTGTAATGAAACCCGTCCTCAAACGATTCACGTCACTGTCAGTGTGAGATCGGGGCTGCTTCTCCACTTTACTGTGCTTTCACTCTCAGAGAACGGCATATTTAGCAGATTAGCTTTTCTTCATTACCCTATAAGTCATGTTACTATCTAGGGCACTACTTTACAAGGCAGCTTCCTAAATGAAATGCCATCTCAGAAGTGAATGATTCAAAACACACAGGCACATTCATGTTTTCTGAGATTGATACGGTGAAACGAACGCCATCGTCACTGTTCGTATCACTGTGATCAAGAGCTGAGAGTCAGATATGATAATGAGCGTTTGCTTTCTGACCAATCAGAGCAGAGCAGTGTTCAGAGAGGCGGAGCTTAGAGACTGAATCCTTGATGGAAGTGTTTCAGACACTGAGAGAAAAGAGCTGAGATTCAGATATGATAATGAGCGTTTCCTTCCTGACCAATCACAGCACACATCTGACCAATCAGAGCAGAGCAGTGCTCAGAGAGGCGGAGCTTAGAGACTGAATCCTTGATGGAAGCGTTTCAGACACTGAGAGAAAAGAGCTGAGATTCAGATATGATAATGAGCGTTTCCTTTCTGACCAATCACAGCAGACATCTGACCAATCAGAGCAGAGTAGCGTTCAGAAAGGCGGAGCTTAGAGAGACTGAATCTTTTATTGAGCATTTTCATAAAAGGACTGATGCGGCAATGGGAAAATGAGAGTATTTTTGACCTTGTGTGCATGAAAAACTATTCTAAAACAACATTAGGAACCTTTAAAATAGCATAGCGGGGCACTTTAATGTGCATCATCTAAACCCTCTTGAAATGATCCTCTAACCTGCGCCAGTGGAGGGCAGGCACAATGGTCACATCGCCCTGGGCAAGAGCAATTACCCACAATCCCCTGCTGTCTGACTGCAAGCATATGCAGGAGGACAAACACGGCTTCCAGCGCAACTTCAGCTCGTGTGCTGGTTTCATACAGCGTTTCTAACGATGAACATTTTAAAGGCGGGTGCGTCATTAAAAATTAAGCACCATCATGACGGACTTTATGGATTAACATCCACACATCCACACAAATAACTGACTGAACAAACTGGCATGCTGTAGATATAATGAGGTAGCTCTAAATAAATGAGTTTGACAGCAAAATATGATTTAAAAAGAGCATTATTATGATATATCACAATTACTTCAATATCAGCACCAAATTGCATTTTTGCATTGCATTTTTTTTTTTGTCAGGACTTAAAGGGTTAATGCATTATTAAAAGCAAAATGTGTATCTTTGGTTAATATTTTATTTTATCAGCTAACATTAACAACAAATATGTTAATAAATACTGTAACAAATGTATTGCTCATTAATGCATGCATTGGTGTTACCATTAGAGCACTCCTGCAACATTCCTATGGTTGCTATAACAACTAAAGTAAAAAATAAGAGACCATCCACCGTCTCTGAC